TTGTTTCTGTTGCCTTAGGTGTTGTATTTATGAAAATTCTGCTCCATATGATGTCCGAAATTTTGATGCCTATATTTTCTTCTAGAATTTCTATGGATTCACGGGTCACATTTAAGTTTTATCCATTTTTAGTTTATTTTTGTGTATGGTGTAAGTTGATGATCTAGTTTCATTTTTTTTTTTTTTGCATGTAGCCGTCCAATTTTTTCAACACCATTTATTAAAGAGGCTGTCTTTACTCCACTGTATGCTCTTGCCCCCTTTGTCAAATATTAATTGAGCATATTGCCTTGGGTTCATTTCTGGGTTCTCTGCTCTGTTCCACTGGTCTATGTGCCTGTTCTTGTGCCAGTACCAGGCTGTTTTGATTACAGTCACTTTGAAGTATAACCTGATATCTGGTATTGTGATCCCACCTACTTTGTCCTTCTTTTTCAAAATTGCTGTGGCTATTTTGGGAAGTTTTTTGGTTCCATATGAACTTTTGAAGTATTTGTTCTAGTTCTGTGAAGTATGTCGTTGGTATTTTGATGGGGATTGCATTGAATCTATAGATTGCTTTGGGTAGTATGGACATTTTAATGATGTTTATTCTTCCAATCCATGAACAAGGTATGTGCTTCCACTTTTTTATTGATTTTTAAAGAGAGAGAGATACATCATTGCAAGAATGAGACTTTAATTAGCTGCCTTCTGCATGGCCCTTCTGGGGATTGAACTAGCAATCTTTCAGTGCATGGGACAACACCCAAGCAATTGAGCCACACCATCCACAGCTGGTAATCCTTTTTCTACATTAATAATTATTAGTTAAAGAGCCTTGATATCATTGTGATAAAGATTGTTAGATAGACTGTGAGTTTATTTTGTTTTATCTCTGTCTAGGTGAAAAAGGAGGAGAAGAAGCAGGGGCTTTTAAACTAGAAAAGACGTTGACTCTCACCTGTAGCTGGGTGACTCTGATCATAAACTTGATACTGGATTCTGGACCTTAGTTTCCTCATCTAATGATACCCACAACCTTACAAGGCTGTTTAGAAAGTAGAGACAATGTGTTTGAGGCATGGAACACTATACTTTGCTTAAAATAAGTACTAGAAAAACATAATTATTATATTTATTACTTTCAAGATTATCTTCTGCTCATGACAAAACTATAAACACCTCATTGCAGAAAAGACGCTATTACTCTTAAGTCTATTTGTGAAAAGCCCAAAATTAGTTTTTCTAATCTTTGAAATAATATCAAAGTTCAATTGTAGATAACAGAAGCCATTCAAATTATTTTAAGCAGAAAGAGACTTTATACAAAGAAAAAATACAAAGATTGTATACACATCATCATTGAAAGGTCTAGACAAGCAAGCAGGTTCTAGTCTGGGCCATCAGAAGAACAATGCAAAACAGGCCGACTAGGGGAGAGGCTTTTCTTCCATAAAGAAAAAGCAGGAACTCAGGAAATGGGCTCAGCAGTTATTGGAAAATGTACAATCCATCCAGGGTCAGGGAGCCTGGGCCATTGTGCTCGGCTCCACAGTAGGGCTGCTAAAAAAATACAGGACACCAATTTAATTTTGAATTTCAGATCAACAAGTAAATTTTAATATAAGTATGTCCCATGAAATATGACATTCGTGTACTAAAAAAATTGTTGGTGATCTGAAATTCAAGTTTAACTGGGAGTCATGTGTTTAACTGGAACACTGAATTACTCTCCTTTATCTGAAATTCAAATTTAACTGGATGTACTGCATTTTTATTTGCTACATCTGACAGCTACAATAGAAAGCCACCCAGAGCCTACTGTTATAATAGCAGCAGAAAGTGGCTTTGCATGATATTGCCTTAAGTCAGTCTTGGGATTGTATCAAGTTACTAAATCACATTGGGAATTTTGGCTGCAAAGAGATTTGAGAGACCCAACTCTTAACTTTCATTTTCCTTAGTATAGAAGACACACAAGAAGTACAAAGGCACATATAAAAAGCAGACAGTTCACCCCAATAGCTACATAATAATATTGAGTAATTGCATTTGTAATTTGTTTTATATTTAACAAATACATGTATCTTGAACATCTGTAAACAAAAAAGAAACAATACTAAACAAAAAAAGACAAGCTTCTCTTCGAGCTTATATTCTAGTAAAGAAAAAATACAATTAACACAACTTCAAAAATACAATTAACAAAAAAAAAAATCTGTAAATTACAGAAATGCATAAAATTGAAAGTAAAAACCATGTATAATCCTACCACTCTTTCTTCCATCTGATGTGGGGAAAAAAACAACTAAAAATCTTTTTATTCTTTTCTCCCTCCAATTTTACCTCCCAGAGATAATCATTATTAAAAGTTGTGTGTGTGTGCACACTTACAAACATGTTGTAAATAAATTAAACCTGATCCCTAAATTCTACTATGGTGGGAAGTACAAAGGCTCAGTTCATCTGCTGAAGGGGTCAACTCTCACAAAGCTAATTAGAAAAAGACAAAATCCAGATATCTCCTCGAGGTCCCGGTTCGGATTCCAGGTTCCCCTGGGAGTCGCTTCCTGGTCTGCATGCTGTCCCCCTCCATCCTGCTGCCCCTCCCCTCACCTGCCCTGGACCGTCTTGTCAGAGAAGACTGGCTCAGTCTGTCAGAATGGAGCACAATCAGGACAGAGCAACCCTCTTTTTCATAGTGGATGAAAAATTTGGTGATGCTGCCCTGGCCGGTTTGGCTCAGCGGTTAGAGCATCCGCCTGCGGTCCCGAGAGACCCGGGTTCGGTTCCCGCTGAGGGCACGTGCCTCGGTTGCAGTTTGTCCCTGGCCCTGGTTGGTCGTGCGGGTGGCAGCCACTCGATGTGTCCCTTCACGTCGATGTTTCTCTCTCTCTCTCTTCCTCTCTCTCCCTCCCACTCTATCTGGAAAAAAAAAAAAAGAAAGAAGAAAAATGTCCTCGGGTGAGGATAAAAAAAAAAAGAAAAATTTGGTGATGCTAAAATAGCCCCAGTCCATTAATGTGAGAGTGGAGGGAGATAAAGGGAATAAAGGGGTCGTGCTCCCCTCCCCGCCCTTCCTTCTCTCTCACACACAATTAAGCCTTAACTCCTAGAGTAGTAACTCCTTGACCCTCCATGTCTGACTGAGTACATGATCATGCTTTCCATCCATTTCCTCCCAAAACCTCTGCTCCAGCCCCTCCCCCAGCATGCTTTTTTTACTTTCCCGCTTCTGTATCTCTGTCCTGACACCAGTCTGCAGAGAAGACCTCACTGTTCGACACCCCAGCCCACGCATGGGCCTATATCGTGCTGAAGATCCAGCTTCAGAGCCTCTTCCCTGGTGGGAGGGAGCAGGGAGTGAGGCAGGGCAGGGCAATCTAACAAAGGGTGTTCCTGGAGGAGGTTACACGGTGGGCAGCTGGGGGCTGAGGGTTGCCTCAGAGAGCAGAGCCAGAGGCCATGCTTCTGGGCTCTGACTTTATCAAGAAGCGCAAACCCAGAAAAGCAGGAGCCGTGGGAAAAGGGAGCAAGGCGGGAAAGAAAGAGGTAAGTTCTGAAGCTGGCCGCCAGTAAGTGTGAATGGGTTTCTTCATTTCCCAGTATTCTCCTCCAGGTGGAGGAGAAAAGACTCTATCTATTAGCTCCTTTCTCCCATCATCAAAGGTTCATAGGACAGGGACTTAGGTCAGCTGCACATCCACAGTGCACGTGGGTGGGCGCCGGGAGAATCCCACACACCCCACGGCTCACAGTAAGGGATGCCAGGCCGGAGGTGAGAGAGGTGTGGCTGTGCATGAGGGGAGGGGCTGACCGCGGGTGCATGAGGTTGGCCTGAATCTCCTCTGTGGCTGGGCCTGGGACTAAAGAGATTGGAGATAAGTGAGGACAAGAGGATCTGAGCGGCTTATTAAATGTGTGTCTGATTCACCAATCTGAAGTAACTCACTAATGATGACCTTATCCTCACGTGGACCCACTTATCATGCCGGGAAATTTTTTCAAAGAGTGTGAAGCATCACCATAGTGACCTACAAATGAAAATCCAATCTCCATTGTGAAAATCTGGCACATTAAAATAAAATCAAAGGCAGCTGAGTGGATAGAGGTATTTTTTCCCCTCATAATGCCTGACCTCAGTGAAAACGGGTGTCTGAGGAGTTAGAGAGGTACTTGAAGAATGACATGAAAAAGGGAAATCACTGAGTGAAGCAAGTCTGAATGAGTTCAAAGTCAGGAGACCTAGTTACTCTCAGTGAGATTACGGAAAGGGGTCTCTGGTTCACTCAAGAGATATTCTATAAAGAATTTTGAGCTGTTTTTATTTATTTTTGCTTGTCCACTTCTATGAAGCATTCATTATAAGTGTATACAGATTTTTTAAATATATGTTTATGAATTTACATTAAAGCAGAGGAAACATTCAGAAGGAACCGTATGCTCAAAATCTTTATTGTGCTGTCCTGGGAGGCAACATGAACAAAAGCAACATGTTTATCTGCTCGAAGAATATGAACAGCAGGAAGCATACACGCCGAGATAGACATTGTTTAAAGGAGGAGAGAGAAAATGTGAATGACTTCATTTTCTTTATAGTCATCAGCTCTATATTTACTTTTTAAACCTGAATACTGTTAGTACATTATGAAGAGATATTGATAAAAAGATCGATGACTCTTTTTCTGCAATCACGTGTATTATTTCAAAAGAAATTATTGTACTTTAAAGAAAATATTTGTGGTCTTAATATTCCTTAAGAAACATTCCCATTTAAATTCTGCACCCTATAAAGAAATTCAGTTAATGAGTTGTTCCAGATATGCATTAAATTATCTAAATGCTCTAAAATTAATACATAACATAAATATGTTGTTAAAATGCATTGAAGGGTTATAGAGAAGACAATGAACACAATAATGAAGATAATGCAACTTTTGTTTTAAGCAATGAAAGCATTTCAATTTCTGGTTTAACAGCTGTGTAAACTGCTATAGAAACCAGTCTATGTAATCATATCATTGGGAATGTTCTTGAAGATCAAGGGCTTGGTTATAGTCAGCCATGGCGTCCTCAATTACACCTATTTTACCACGAACTTCTGCTCTATGATAATATACCAGAGCATCGTTAGGCTTCAAAGACACAGCTGTAAAAGAAAAAAAAAAAAATTCAAGATATGTTTTATGCTAACACTCAAAAGTTCTCATTTTTAAAATATAAAAATTTTATAATGTAACAACTTTAGTATTACTTGTTTGAAAACATTTGTCTTCATATGTACCTAATTATTTGGTTAAATTTAAAATGTTGAATCTTTCTAAGAAAGTTAAAGTGTGGAAACACAGTACAATCTTTGTTTGATTGACTGGCAATGTTTGTGTATGGTTTCCCTAACAATTTTCTGCATTTTGGCTTGCCGATGCTCTAAGTTATTATAAAGGAACCCATACTGATTACATTAAACATATGATATATAAAAACATTCATTCCAATGTAAGTTTATCCAGACAAATCGACTTGATGGGTTTATTCTTTTATTGTTTTGGTGTTTTTTTTTTATCCTCACCCGAGGACATTTTTTTTCCATTTTTTTGCACAGATAGAGTGGGAGGGAGAGAGAGGAAGAGAGAGAGAGAGAAATATCCACGCAAAAGGGACACATCGAGTGGCTGCCACCCGCACGACCAACCAGGGCCGGGGACAAACTGCAACCGAGGTACATGCCCTTAGCGGGAACTGAACCCGGGTCTCTCCAGACCGCAGGCCGATGCTCCAACTGCTGAGCCAAACTGGCCAGGGCTATTCTGGCCAGTAGATCAACCACTGTAATCTTACCTAAAACAGTACAAAAATATATACCTTTACTTAGGTCTTCCTCGGCTAGTTTATATTGCTTTAAACAACAGTAGAGCTGCGCTCTGTTGAAATACACTGCAGCCCAATAGGGACAGCTTTCAATGACATTTGCAAAATCTTCTTTTGCTTCATCATACTTCTTTAATATTATATTTGCAATAGCTCGATTCATGATAGCAAATTTATCTTCTGGATCAAACTTTAAAGCCTTTGAGAAGTAGTCACTGGCCTATAAAATGTGAATATAAAGATTGTCTGAATATATTTTAATTGGCAACTATATAGCATTTTGAGGCACTTTTGCTCTTAATATAAAATTAAGGCCAATGGCATTTCCAGGGGATAGTGGAAGCATTTCATCCCAGATACTGATGATAAGAAGGCGCACTGTCTATAAAGAATGCAAAAAACAATCATGAAACAAACCAATGGTTGGTCTGCTCTTTGTTATCACCATGTGTAGGCAATTCTAGACAATGTTAATGATAAAAATAGAAGGAGACTTGACCATACAGATGATGTACTGCAGAACTGTACACTTGAAACCTATATAATCTTATTAATTATTATCATGCCAATAAATTTAATAAGTTAAAAAAAATACTCCTCTCTGTTAAAAATGAAATGCTTTACTACCCTATCCCCACCCCACAAATCCCACATCCCTGGTACAACACTGAAAACGGTAAAATATAAATTAGGGGGGAAAAAGAATTAACACTTTTCATATAAAAGCAGAGTATCTAAGAGCTACAGAGATAAATGTTTAAAATAACATTCTAAACCATATCAAAAGGGGATTAAAATTCATTTATATTATAAAAAGCTATAAGGAAGGATGGGAGAAGATAAAAATCACCTTGTCAAGAACATCAAAGACCCTAGATTATTCACAACTCATCAAGCTGGAAGGTCCTTTCAAAGTGTGGTCCATATATGGTCCATATACCATCATTGGAGTCATGATCAACAACAAATTAGAAGTTGTTTGTTTGTTTTTTTTTAAATGAGACGCTGATTAGACACCCTACCACTGAAGGTAGGAATCTCTTCTGTGATAAATGAAAATGTGGCTCCTAACTAAAGGAAAAGTCACTTTCCACAAGAGAGCTTGCTCTCTGGTTCTTTACCACGTGGTTTTGCCCAGCACACCACAATCTGGCTTCTACCTCCCCTCTCTACTCTGTGAGTTCTGCTCTTGCTAAGGTTGAAGATGTCTTGAAGCCCAGTGGACATTTTCTAGTTATTTTCTTCCATAACATTTCTGTGGCATGAACACTCTTGATCTCTCCTTCCTTCTTAAAGCTTTCTCTGTCTTAAAAAACAAAACAAAACAAAACAAAACAAAAAAACTTTATCTGTCTTTGAAACAGAATGTCTCCCTGGATTTTCTCCTACCCCTATGATCATTTCCTGTCAGTGTCCTCCACTGAACTCTTTTTCTTTGTTTCTCAGGGATTTTCCCTCAGTTTACTTCCATAACTGGTGTCATGGAATCCCAATAGCTTGGTGGCCAGGAGCCCAGACCGTGAGGCCATAACTGATGTCATGGAATCCCAATAGCTTGGTGGCCAGGAGCCCAGACCGTGAGGCCAGGTTTTCAGGTTCAAATTCTGACTCTACCACTTATTATCTCTGTGTCCGTAGGTGGGTAACTAAAGCTCCCTTTTCCTCAACGCTTCTCATCTGTTAAATGGAAGTAACACATAGAACTCTATGTCCAGTGCTGCTATGAGGGCTAAGAGAGCTAATCATAAAGTACTGAGAAAGATACGCAGATTCTATTAAGGACTTAATTATTATTGATATATCATTTCTCCCAGGGTCTACAAATAAAGATACATCATAGCCCGCAGGCAATACTCCATAAACTTGGCTGCCTATAGCTTTTGAGAGGCAATTAGATCAAGATTTAGTAACCCATCTCATCCCAGGATGACAGCTCTTTTATGTGGCAGTTAAGTGTGGTTGAAGGATCTGTTAAGATGGCAGCAGAAAAGACACTCTTCTCTGAAGAGCTTCAAGAGAATTTGCTTCTGAATAGAAGGCCAGACTCACTATTATCAAAAATAAGGCAAAGAAATGGCTCTAAGCAGGGACAAGACTTCCTTCAAAAAGCAAGTTAGGCTTCATTTTAATTCACCAATAAATGATCAATAAAGGTGACACAATTATGCATCACAAAAGCAGACTTCAATCATGTAAGAGTAAATGCTGATCTCAGCTAAGAATAGAACTTAGTAAAACACAATAGTGTACCTGTAATCAATGAGAAAGCAGATCCAATTATTTTTGAAAGTCACTTGTAGTTCATGATGCATGCACGTAGCTCACCCAAATGTGGTTTAAAATCATTAAGTCACTAATTAACGATAAAAGAAGACCAAACACATACATGTTTTCATCCTCTAGAGATCACTTGCTCTGTTGAAGGACCCTTTCTCCTGACCATATATCTTCTTTCCAGTACAGTCAGAAACAAAGGTGAGGGGGAGCAGAAGATACAAGAATTTTCTCCACAAAGAGGCCTAGGGTATACTAATACAGCTGAATGACTACTCTCAAAGTCTGCTTGTCTCTGGAAGGAATGTACACTGTGAAGCCCAAGCATCCAATACATCAGGACAGAAGACAAAACACATTTTAGACAAAATATTTGTCCAACAAATGTGTCCCCAGCTTTGAAGAAATAGCATCATACTATAAAACTAAAAGATCAAACTACACTTTAGATCTAACTGAATAGTTTCATACATGATGCCCCGAGTTATTAAATACAAATATGTTTAAAATGTGAGGATCTCCTTCTTATGTGGATATTAAACATGTATGGAAACAAAGTTTTCCTGGGCATTGTATTTGTCTTCATCTCATTAACTAACTCTAGGGTGTAGAGAAACATTGCTAGGGCCCAGCCAGACAGTGGTCTGAGTTTGATGATGTTTAAGGAAATTGACCTGGCTTGTCAGCCTAGGGAAACCTTAGCCTCCCAGCTGTCCACTGAGGCCTGAGCTAGACAGTCACATTCATACCTTACAGAATTATACCTTCAATAATTATCTGTCCCAGCATCTAGCTGCACCACTGAGGTAAACCAGGCTCCTCATAGGGATCAGCAAGCTGCTCAGGGTCATGAACTTGGGAAAAAATAAGAGCTAAAGATAGAATGAAAGGGACACATTTGAGAAAAAATACAAAGCAATACTGATAGTACTAGATAGGGAGGAGAGGAAGAGAAAGTCATGGTACATCATAAATATGTGGAGATTGAAAGAATGAAGAGCTAAGTGGAACCAGGAAATATTTGCTGATTTTTTTTCCAGCAAAATATAGACAAGAACTATCACTTCTTCACACATAAAAAGCTCACTATATTAAGGAGTATGGTGGCAATATTGGGTGGTGAAGGAGAATATAGAGGTGACAAAATATGTAAGCAATATAAAAAAAAACTTTTTAAAATGAGTACATCATTTTAGGAGCCAAGGACTGTGAAAAGCTCAGAGAAACTCAGGGTAGGCTAGAGAGGACATACTGTCAAGTCCTTTCTTATAGAATCAGAGGGAGCCCAACTTGGAAAGTTATCATGGCCCATCCCTCTATTTCCCACAAGGGTCTCTGCTATTAGAACAGGAAAATAATTTATTACATTTAAATATGAGTAACAGAAAAGTATTTTGTCTGTCTTCATAATAAAAATGAGGATGAAAAATAACATCTTAATTTGGGGGAAGATAAAAACTCACCAGAAAAAATGTATTGCTATAATATAGATTTAAAAAAGTTATAGCATTTCAAAATGAACTAAAAAAAATTATTATACAAGCAATTGCATTTAAGAAAAATATAATTCAGAAATAAAGGACCTCAGACAAGAGATGGCCAGTAAGGTATGCCATGGAAATGAAATGGAACTACAAAAACCAAATAAATAAACAAACAAACAAATAAAAAAACTAAAAAACTTGAATTACAAGGTCTACAAGGGGACAAAAATTATCTCAAAAAAACACAATGAAGAAGGCAACAAAAATGAAAAACAAATTAAGAAATAAGAAAAATAGAGTTAAGCTTCTTAGGGTATATTCCTAGAAGTGGGATCACTGGGTCAAATGGAAGTTCAATTTTTAATTTTTTGAGGTAACACCATATTGTTTTCCACAGTGGCTGCACCAGTCTGCATTCCCACCAGCAGTGTACCAGAGTCCCCTTTTCTTCACACCCTCGCCAACACTTGTTGTTTGATGATTTGTTGATGGAGGCCATTCTGACAGGTGTGAGGTGATACCTCATAGTTGTTTTAATTTGCATCTCTCTGATGATTAGTGATGATGAGCATTTCTTCATATGTTTCTTAGCCATTTGTATGTCCTGTTTGGAGGGGTGTCTATTTAGTTCCTCTGCCCATTTTTTAATTGGATTCTTTGTCTTCCTTTTGAGGAGTTGTATGAGCACTCTCTATATATTGGAAATTAACCCATTATCTGATATATCATTGGCAATTATGCTCTCCCATACAGTGGGTAGCCTTTCCGTTTTGATGATTGTATCTTTCACTGTGCAGAACCTTTTGAGTTTGATATAGTTCCATGTGCTCATTTTCTCCTTTGTTTCTATTGCCTTAGGTGATGTGTCAGTAAAAATTCTGCTGCGTATGATAAACCACAGAACTTATATGCATGTATGCATGAACAGTGGACATGGACAACAAACTGGGGAAAGGGCAGGGAGGGAAGGGGAGGGGGGAATCAGTGGGGGAAAAAGGAGAAACATCTGTAACAAAAATTAATTAATAAAAAAATAAATTAAAAGAAAAATAGAGTTAATATATAGAAGTTGATATATATTGAATATTCCCAATGGAGAACATCAGAACTATGAAACAGAAAAAAATTTTTCCACTGAATTCAACAAAACTTTTCTGAAAGCTACATATTGAAAACACACTCTGTAGACTTGTTAACATTGACCCACCCCCATGGTCAACTCTAAGACATGCGTTGTAAAACGTCTTGCTTAAAAATATATATATTTGGTTATCCTAACAAAAAGAAGTCACAAATAACAAAAGTCGGATTTGCATCCAGCTTCTTGACATCATCATACAACACCAGAAAACTGTGCGACAACACAAGACACTCAAGGAAAGAAGTGAGCTAAGGGTTTTAAACCCAGACATGCCCCCTGAAGATGTAAAGGCTAAACGCACTGATGAACATGAAAAAATGCAAGGACTAGTGTTCTCATGAGCCCTTTCTCAGGATTCTACTAAAGGACGAATTTCACACAACCAAGAAATGATTGGTTGGGAGGGAAACTGGCAAAAAGCCTGGAGATGAGAATTGCATATAATTAACTGGAGAACTAAGATGAAATCTGAAGTAATAGTAACAAAATGGTATGCAAGCATTAAATCCTCTGGCAGTACAGGAATAATGAAACTCACAACAAAATGGGAGAACCGAGACAGACAGTGAACAGTAAGCTGATACTGTAAGCTCAAGCATATTTAAGAATATAAATAGAAAAAAACTTTTAAAGAGAATACTATTAACTAAAGTTGAATAATAGATGAGAGGCAGGGTGATTTATTGATGTTCATAGTACAGAAACTAAACACACAAGGAAATAGGATATAAAAGTGCTTTCATAAAGGTAGTCACTAGCGCAAAACTATTAACCTTCCTCAATATCAGAAAAACTGAAAAAAAATTAACATATCACAGAACAAAATACTTTAAAAATTCCCCAAAACAAAAATATGACATAAAATAACAGAACTAAAACCAAACATAGTGATTCTGCCAAATGTAAAGGGGCTTAACCCATCTATTAAAAGATGAATATTTTCAAATTGGCTTCTGAAGCAAAATCCAACTCTATGCTACATAAAAGAGACATCTAAAACAAAGGATTCTAAATGTTGAAAATAAAGGGAAGGGCCAAGGAATACCAGACAAAAGCAAACCAAATGGATCAGAGGTCACTATCATTTCAGATAAAGTAAAATTTATTTCAAAGACTCTTAAAGAAACAAAGAAGAATTTTTATAATCCTGAAGGTTAAAAAATATAGTATCAATATATATAGAGAATAATGTAACAGCAATTTCCATAAGGCAGAAATTACAAGAAATATAAAGAAAACTATATAGGACCAAACCAATGATAGGATACTTAAGTAAATCTTTCTCAGTCCAAGATCAACTAAATGAAAAAAACAAATGGATGTTGATTAAAAATATAATTAATAAGGTAGACCTTATCCGTTTACTTTTGAATTCTATATCCTGACAGCAGAAACTCTTCTTTGCAAAGAACCCTGGGATATATTTTTTTTAAGGTGCTATATATTAGACCACATTAAAACTCAATAAATACCAAAATTATAAAATATAAAAGCCCTCCACCTGGACATTTCAAGTGCCCTATTCATTTATTCTTGAGTCAAAGGGGAAATAAAATTACAGGTGCAAAATTTGGGGAAAACAAAAATTAAAACTTCAAAGACCAAAATATGTGGGATACTGCTAAAAGCAATATTTGGGGGGAAAGGCTTAACCTTACTAATTTATCACAATAGAAATGAAAGAGTGACAATAAATGAATTAAGCTTCTTATTCAAAACAACAGACAAAGAATTGCTAACACTTGGGTAAGTCCAAAATAATGTTTGCCGGACAGGTGTTGAATGGTTGTTGATAATGAGGAGAATAAATCCACAGAGGGTAACCATTTAATAAATAATTATAAACATTCTTATAAAGAGAACATTTTTAAAAGAAGAGCTAATGATTGATTAGCCTAGAATATATAGCAAAGAAAGCATTTAGCACAAAAAGAAAATTTTAAGGAAAATTCACATTACCTGGGAAAACTGCCTGTGGTGAAAGTAGATATTTCCTGCATTAAAATAAGCCAGTGAGTATGTGGGGTTTAAAGAAATTGCTGCTTGATAGTCTCTCATTGCATTTTGTGGCTGACCCATAAACTCATGAATCACACCACGATTTGTTAAGAATTCTGCTGTAGCCTTGATCTGCAATACAATAGTACGAGCATTCAGCATCTGGGAATAGTGTTTATCTCTGATTTCATGTCTGCAAAAATGAATGTTATGAAATCTACTTGTGGGAAACTAGCAACTTTATAGTTCAGGTGAAGCCCCATTAGAGCAAATATTTTGGTTGTAATAAAACAATAATCTTAGTGCTTTACTCAGTTCCTTTCCAAAGAACAGACTTGGGGAAAAGCTTGTCTGTTAACTCTGTTAAAGCTGGAAAAGAAATTAAATAGTTAATATGTTGATTTGTCCTAAGCAATAGCAATGATCTTTCAGTTCTTTCCTTTTTCTCACCTCAAAGATTACATCTACCCAAATCTACAGAAACAGAATCCAAAAATCTAGAAAAAAAAAAAAAAAGAGAGGAAGATTTTGTCACTGTATACAAAACCTGAGATTTTTATTTGCTGTCTCACTACAGAAGAATCTGGGAGTTACCTTGTTCTTTCTGTACTTCCTTCAAATCCAAAACATTATTTTATATTTTGCATTCTTTGTTTTTATTTCTCTTTTAATAGAGAGGAAGGGAGAGGGAGCGAGAGATAGAAACATTGATAAGAGAGAATATCAATTGGCTGCCTCCTGCTTGGCCCCCACAGGGGATTTGGCATGTGCTCTGACCAGGAATCGAACTGGCAACCTCTTGGTGCATGGTCAATGCTCAACCACTGAGCCACACCGTCCAGGCTGCATTCCTTTTTTTTTTTTATCCTCACCCGAGGATATTTTTTCATTTTTTTGTACAGATAGAGTGGGAAGGGAGAGAGAGAGAAACATCGACGTGAAGGGACACATCGAGTGGCTGCCACCTGCACGACCAACCAGGGCCAGGGACAAACTACAACCAAAGTATGTGCCCTTAGCGGGAACCGAACCCTGGTCCCTCCGGACCGCAGGCCAACGCTCTAACCGCTGAGCCAAACTGGCCAGGGCTGCATTCCTTTTTTTATATTACAAAATAATATTGATGTCCCATGAAACTATAAACTACATTTACTGAGACAATCACCATTTATCAGGAGTTTGAATTTTAAATGCATTCAGGTCATAGAACCGGCAAGCCATAATAACTCTTTATTCTAGAAATCTCCAGGAGTAAAGAGTTATATATAATTTTCTCTACAAGTCATTTAAAAAAGTTAACAGATAATTTTTTTACTTGACCCTATTCATTGATGGCACTAATTTATGCTAATGATAATATAATCTAAGTGGATTTTTACCTTTATGGCCATATTAATATCCTGAATTGCAGCAAAATTATTACCCATCTGGAGACAGACCACAGCTCTTCCCTCATAGGCCAGGTAGCTCTTTGGATCAACCTCTATGGCAATGGTGAAGTGGTTCCAAGCTTTCTGGAATTTTTCTTGGGCCTAAAATAATTTTCCATTTATATGAAGTAGAAAATTATCCATAACATGACAAATGTTTGATTCTAACTTAATCAAATAAAACCTTTAGAAAGGGTATATTTATACAGTGCTAAATCTAAGATATTTTAAACAAGAAATAGGCTGTACTGAGAGTGCATTCAATTGACTAATTACCTCTGAGTATTTACACTGAATTTCTAATTAAAATAAATCTAATTGTCAGAGTCACCTCATGTCAATCTTAGACAACATAAAATCACAGCCGCCGTGTGAAACACCTAAGCTTTGGACAATCACCACAACATTTACCTTGAGCTCGGCACACACAGGCAGAAATTGTACTTACTTGCTTGGCATTGAATCTCCAGTTATACATAATATACATCATAAAATAAATGTGTATTGAATAAATAAATGCATAAACTACTGGTGTAAAACCTATTTTGATAAACTGTATCAGCATCTAGATTCTAGAATTTTAGGATCACTGTCCATATTCCACGGAAATGCAGAGCTACCAAGCATCTATTTATACCAACCTTAGTGATAACTGGGAAACAAGAAAAAAAGGTCAGAAAAGAGGCATTGTGAATAGAATGATGTCAGAATATTTTCTAGAGAAGACCAACTGGCAGTGAAATACCTCATCACAGGAAGGCCGTGAGTTGATGAATTTAGCATGGTCCAGGGCCTGTCCTTTATTCCTATGGGCTCAAACACACAACTTGCCAGAATCTCAGATGCTGACTCATGTTAACCAAGCTGAGCCCAGTGACTCTTGCACAAGACTAATAAGGCATATAACTAATAAGACATTGTTCTTTAACCAGCAAATCTTCTCCCTCTTGGCAAATGATGTTGAATTCACCATCATCATCAAAAGTTTGTTTGATAAACGAGGAATCCGGCAAATTAAGTTATTAGAATATTAAGCTGCAAACAGCCTCACCGTAGAATTATATCTGTTGTCTGTTCCTGACAACATCTGCTTTGCTCACTTTCATATCCCAAATGATACTGTTGTAATTAGCTATTTATTAATAATAGGAAAGGAGCAAAGGGAAGGTCAGATATCAAAGACATGTTCCCTGCAAAACAGGAGGAAGGGGACCGGACAAATGGCAGATAGATGCATGCCAAGTAAAGTTGGGATGACCAGGAAAGGTGCTTGATGTCAGTCACACCTGGGATGGAGGTTATTGGTCAGAATGGGCGTGGCCATAGCAACCAAGTGGAAATTTGAGATACATAATCCCCTGAACAAAGAAGTTTGCTCTCTTGGTTCCTCTCGGCACTCTTGGCTCATGGCTCACATTTGGCTCCCTGGCATTCTCCCATGTGGCCCACAGCCATGTGGACCCCACACACAATGGACTAATGAGCTGCAACTAGCCTGATGCTGTACTGGATCTGTCTCCAACATGGAGAGGAAACTCTGGATGCTGGCTTTGCTTCTAGCTTTACTGAAGCCTCAGATGCACTTCAGCTATGACTGGACTTAGGGAAATGGAACTTCAGAAACTCAGGGATGTAATTCCACACGAATAAAAATCACTTAATCGCCCTGGCCAGTTTGGCTCAGCGGTTAAAGCGTTGGCCTGCGGTCCGGAGAGACCCGGGTTCGGTTTCCGCTAAGGGCACGTACTTCGGTTGCAGTTTGTCCCTGGCCCTGGTTGGCCGTGTGGGTGGCAGCCACTCGATGTGTCCCTTCACGTTGATGTTTCTCTCTCTCTCTCTCCCTTCCTCTCTCTCCCTCCCACTTTATCTGTACAAAAAATGGAAAAATATCCTCGGGTGAGGATAAAAAACAAACAAACAAAAAATCACTTAATCTCCAGTGCAAGTCTCAAAAAATTACTTTTCCTGGAATATAGTTAGAAGTTCACCCCCAGCAGCACCCCCAGCAGCACCCAGTGGGGAAGAAGACCCCTCACCTTGTCTGACATCCCTAGTGCTAAGCACACAATAGGGAAATCTGTAAGTATCCTTTTTTTTTTTGGTATGTTCCCCAAGCGGGAACTGAACCTGGGACTCTCTGGTCTGCAGGCCAATGCTCCAACCGCTGAGCCAAACCGGCCAGGGCCTGTAAGTATCTATTGAACAAATGGTCACTCCTTCCTCTGAGCAGGATTTGACGGGCCTCGCTAACTCTCCTTTTCAGGACTTCCTTTCCTGATTCAATCCTTCCTCATACTAATGTGTTTCTCAATCCTCTTTCAGGTTGACATCTACCCAGTGACATTTTTATAAAACAGGATTGTGATGTCACTGTTCTAGGTAGTAAAGTTCACATTGCAAGGCCCTTACCTCCAGTCATTATTCAATTTTCTAGTCTCACCCCCCCAATAACATTCCGTCCCCTGTGCCTTCCAATTCTTTCTCCATATGGATCACTGTATCCTACCTCCAACTCCTACCCTGGACTAATTAATAGTCTTTCACACCTCAATTTAAATGTCAATTTCTTTCTTTTTTTCTTTTTTTTGTGGTATGTGCTCCTAGCGGGAACCAAACCCAGGACTCTCTGGTCTGCAGGCCGATGCTCAACCGCTGAGCCAAAGTGGCCAGGGTTAAATGTTAATTTCTTTAAAAGCCCTCCTTTACCCCTCAAACAAAGCTATATTTCGTTATAAAATTTCCTAAACCCATCCTTTTCCTTTGTTGCACTTACGCATATAAATAAATAATGAATCATATGATTGCTTGATGCTTATCTCTCCACTAGAAAATTTTACAAGAAGAACCAAGTGTAGTTTGTTTATTGTTGTATCCTAGGCCTAGACCAGTTCCTGTCCTACAGTAGGTGCTCAGTAAATACCTATTAAATACAGTCAATGATGATAACACATGACATAAGATTACAGTCAGCCTTAGATACTTTGGGAGTCATCATGTCTCTTTAAATTGACCTTGCAACTTTCTACTGTGATCCAGTAATGGCTACTTTTATGTTGACTTCTCAGAAGGCAACCATTTTTTCTTCACCACAAATACCAATCCCAACAACCACCTCCAATATTAGTCTTAGATCAGTCAAACTCACTTATTTTTAAATGAAAAAAAAAATTCAACTTTAATAGCAGATTAACAGGAATTTCTGTAATTTATAATATTTGAACATACTTTTTGACCACGGTTTAAATTTTTGAATATTAAAAGGGATAAAAAGAGCATTTAAGATTACTCAGTTCCCTTTCATGGAGAATATAGAATTTTAGCACTTTATTTTGAGAATGTCACTACATCTGTTATTAGTGCAATGAACTTGGTGAGTGCATGGGTCAGGTCAGAGTATCCCAGAAAGCACTTCGAGAACTGCTTGGCCTCCATCTTGCTGGAAGGACAGATGCCTGGTGTCTTGCCTTCCCGGTATGTTCTAATTCATTGCCATTTGGAAGATGACCCAAATTCAGAAGTCCCTGTACAGTGGTTGTCTGACCCACTGCATGGCTGGAGTCCACTTCAAAACTTTCATACATTGTTTATTCCCTTTAGCTCTCCACTAATTCAATAGGGCAAAACCTATGAAGCCCAGGTATGAGTTAGTAAACATGTTATCCAGGTTCTTACATATGAAACTCATCAAAGTTTAAAAATTGTCTGTAAGTGTGGGGGTGACATAGAAAGGGTTGAAGGTATGAAAGAAACTCAGATTCAAAAGATCCTTATCTCACTAGTATACCGAGTCTCCAGATGCGATCCCCAGGCAGGCTCCTTGAGAAATTGCTTCCCATTGCTGGTCTGGATATTAATAGTTAGGGAAAGGTAAAATGTTCCTAGCCAAAGAAACAGCATATATCCCCATCACCAGTAAAGAGCCAAATATATTCTTCCTCTAGTCCAAAAGGTGCTTTTGATACCACTGTAATTAGCTAGTTATTAATAATAGGAAAAGAGCAAAAAGGGAGGGCAGATATTATAGGCATGTCATCTGGGCAGCTTCACCAGGAAGCTGCAATTTCACACTCCCCAGGGAACCACCTGCCTATTCCCCACAGAGTACTGAGAGCAGAGGTCTAACAAAGGGGAGATAGATGCATGCCCAGTGAAGTTGGGGTGACATAGGAAGGTGCTTGCCTGTCAGCCAAACCTGGAAACGGAGATCATTGGCCAGAGTAGGCAGAGCCATGGCAAGTGTGTGAAAATTTGGGAGTACATAATCCCCTAAACAAAGGAGTTTGCTCTCTTATTACTCTTGTTGCTGTTGGCTGGCTGTTGGCTCTCTTGCATTTGCCTGTATGGCCCTCAGCCATGCAGACCCCACACGCAATGGACTCTAGTAGGAAACACAAGCTAAGTTAGCCTGATGCCAGACTGGAGTGTGCAGACAACTGAACAGAAACTCTGGACACTGGCTCTGATTCTAATTAGCCCTTTTGAAGCTGACGTTACACTTCTTCTATGGCAAGACTGAGAGACAGGGGACCTTGGAAATTCAGGGATTTAATTTCATGCAAATAAAAATCACTTGTTCTCCCACGTGAGTCTCAGAAAATTCTTTATCTCAGGATACCACAAGAAATCCACTTCCACCGGCAACCAGCAGGGACTAGGACCTCTCCCCACCGGTAACCCTTTCATGGCCCCAAATGACCTTATATAATATTACCTGCAAACTATAGCTTAAACTAACTCTGGCTTTTGTGTATGATGGATTGAAATGCAACACTCTCAGAAAGTCCTTCTGTGCTTGTTTGATGCCTTCCTCGTGACCATATTCCATGTAAGAATTTCCCCGTCCGATGTAAGCATCCATAAAACAAGGATTAATATTAAGAGCCCAGGTGAAGAAATTAACAGCATCTTCAAACTCTTTGTTTCTGAAAATAAATAAAATTATTGATGCTTTCTGATGAGTTACCAAGTGCTTTCCTATATATAAAGTTTTCATAAGGATTTTCATTGAGCCTTATAAAAATGTTTTCACTTTCATTATCCATCATAGGAAGTAAGTACATGAGTCCATATGACCTAAGGAAGGCTCAAGAGGTTTTTGAAGATTATGGTAAAAGGGAAGAAGGAGGTAAAAGCCATTTTCAAAGTAGAATATGCTGGGATAATATTCTAGAGTTCTTTTCTCAGAATTATAAATGGCTGAATGGCATTTCTGAACCTGTTTTGCGTAGCTATCAGTGGCCAATATAGAAAAATAAAAACATATGCTATTATTGATGAAGTACACTATTCAAAGCATATTATAATAAATTTATATGTATTTAATATTTCCTTAACAACAAAAGGAACTAAATTTTTAAACATGGGAGTCCTTACTTCAGATTCTATAAAAGCAGGCCCTTTCTTTCTCGACACCAGGAGAAAGGGGGGGGAGGGAGATGCATTATATTTATTAATTTGTAAATATATGTGACCAAACAGTAATTTGGTTTTTCTTCCCTATTTATTATCTTGTGGTGGGGATGAGGGCTGGTGAAGGAATCAAATATATTTCATAAAGGAGTCACTTTTTATCTCATATGCATATCTAATAATTATATTTCATCTCAATTAGCATGGAGAAAGCCATTTTTCTGTACCGATCGAGTTATCAGCACTAGCATTTAGTGAGCATCTAGTCCATTTCAACTAAGTAAATAATCATTAAACTTTAACACAGGAAAGGGATCTGGAGAGCTGCCTGGCAAACTCTTCAAAGCAGATGACAACTAAAAGTCAGGTCCAGGAGAGGGGACTGTCAAAGCCAGGGACTCCCCAGCTCGCTGCATCAACAGGGGAGAAACGAAACAGAGACCACCGAAACAGCAATTTCATTTTCCCAAGGATGAGTCTATCACAGTGTTCTGTCGTTCGAAGCTCTTGTCACATGGTCACATGGCATTTAGACAACAGAAAAATACAGCTGAGGACCAACTGTGTCAGGATACACATTCAGCACTACAAACATTGTTAAGAACCCGTTCCCACAAATGTAAAAGTATATCAGATTAGTTTGTCTAAAATAAAACGTGTTTGTGTAAAATAATGTGGCCACTGAGGGAGATACCCGGCATCCGGCAGGACCGCGTGTCCAGCTCACCGGCGAGGCCAGACGGGGGCCCGCCACGTTTCCTAAATTAATTACATACATGACCAGATGTGCTCTACTGAGTTGTACAAATAAATCATAAATACCTCCGAAAACTAAAGAATGTGGTTTGCAGAGTCAAAGATTCAAAAATATTCTATGCAACTATAAGAATAGTAAAATCAATGTGCTAAAGGAAAAAAGTGGATAGGTTATGTGACTAAGCAATTTCCCTCTGTGACTTTTTTCTTTTTCATATGAAGGTGGCTTTCTCAGAGAGATCTAAAAATTAACTCTAGCACAACACCCTTCGTGACCAAATCGGGCAACAAGTAGGATATTCAGCCTAAGGAATGTTGTCTCCTAGCAACCACAAGAGTGAGAACAGAGATATACAAAGGCATACTTCAAAAGTCTGCAACCCCATGAGTTCAAAGATCAAAGCCCTAAAATTTAAAGATTTATTCCTTTTTAGACAATTTTTCCATTTAGGGTAATTTTTGCTTTCTCCACCATAAGATACTGATAATGAATCTCCGATATTGAGAAACCATGCTGCTGTGATGTAAGCTTGTTATAGACTGCCTAGAAAAGCAAAACATATTTTTCCTGAAATAAACATAACCCATCACTAAACATTTCTTATTGTTAAATTCAGAAAAACTGTTACAACTCAAAACACATGGAATTAGGACTGTGGGTTATGAGGGCTTTCCTGTTGATTTAAATTCTACTTTTATTAAAGGACAACAGAGATTCTAGTCAACTGATGAAAGTCGGTTATTTGGAATTGCAAAGCAGTATCAGCTTAAGACAGCTCCGCCATATAGTATATCCAGTGATTACAATTCATGAAAGAGATCGGGAACTAATAGTTGCTAAACATAGGAATGAGTTGGAGAGAAATTTTGGAGTCTGTTTTTAATTTTAAGAGAATGCAATGACCTCAGACATTTTTGGTCTGTCCTCACCCACCAAAACAAACACATCAGTCATCGTTATTCCACCTCTTTTTAAGAATCACAATTACTCAAAGAGATGGATTGCACAAAGGTTGCGATTAAAATAGACAATGGTGTGACTATGTTTTACTGTCTATATAAAATAAAGGTCCAAGTTAGGTCTTTAAACCCAAGGACACCTTTCATAAGTTTCAGTTATATTATTATTATGTTCATAAAATTAAAAATCTAACTCTCATAGGAAAATGCAGCCATGCTATGTCCTAAAAGGGAAAAAAAGAAATGTTGATTTCCTAAATGATTCATAATTAGATATTTATACAGCCCAGTCTATATAGTTTATGAACTATCCTAATTTCCTCCCTCCAATTAATTGCTATTATTTCTCTCTTAAAAAAAATAGTGCTATAAACTATTACTCAACCAAATACCTTTTATCTCACATAAATCTTTACATGCTGAATCTCTATACTTTTAAAAGCAAAATGACTAGAAACTAATTTTTTTTGTTAATAGTCATCTGAGGACATTTTCCCATTGACTTTTAGATAGAATGGAAGGGAGGAAGAGAGGGAGAGAGAGAAACATCAGTGTGAGAGAGACACATCAGTTGGTTGCCTCCTGCATGACCTTGACCAGGGCCAGATATCAAACCTGCAACCCAGGCATGTGCCTTTGACTGGGAATCCCTTTGGTTCTCAGGCCAATGCTCCAATTGCTGAACCAAACTGGCCAGGGCTAAAAACTAATTTTTAGATGTCAAATGTATGTGTAGAAATGTAAACATTATAGTTAGCAAAATCTACGTAATATTATCTCAGAACAAATTTTATTTGTTTATTTATCATCTTCAGTATTTTAGCCTATGTAACTATTCTCTTCTCCCCTCCTATAACTTGACTTATTCTTATAGTAATCTCAGAAACAGGTAATATTGTTTTCAATAATATGTTTTTGTAGGTGTTTTTGTATTTTGTAGATACATTGGTATTGTTTTAAGTAGTTTTAGATTTAGAATTATGTTTTCTAAATGTAAAATTTGTTTGAAAATATTTAATTTTCGATATCACCCTCTCTTGTAGGAAAACAGTCTTTTTTAAAGTTAGTTTCATTTTAGAAAAACATTAATTACTTGATTTTAGTCTTAGATGTTTCAAGCTGTGCATGAGTTTATTCTGCGTATCAGCCAGGTCCTTTCCCAGTAAATGGGCTTGAGTCGGGTAAGTACCCAATGCCACGATGCAGGTATTTGCTTGCAGACGCTGTTCAAATACTTTGTTAGAAGGTAGAAGGATGCTGATGACACACATCGGTGTGATCCTCACCGCTATACAGGCATTTTTTTGTCCCCTGACACTTCTACATTTTTCTCTCTGTTCTTCTGTTATCATTATTAGATAGTCCCACCTGTTTTCACTTCAACATAAATCACACCCTGTACCTGTGATAGCACATGGCAGTAGCTTGACAAAGGCTCACATCAGTCTTGCTTAGCAGTGCAGCTTGTTTAAAATCCTGAAACAGTTTTATACATTTTCGTTAATTTTGCAACATTATCCTTCCTGCTTTCTTAAACTTCCTTCTAACTTTGGTTTTACCATGAATATACTTAACATAATATATATATATATTTTAACTTAACTTATATATATATAATAAACTTATATATATATATACATAGTATATATATATAACATACTTAACTTAAAATATATATCTTCTTCAAACTTCTTTTTTTTTTTTTCCTTTTAGTCTCACATCTAGGGAGAATGGATGGAATAAAGGAAACCGATAACTGAAAACTCTCTCAGAACATTGTGCTACTGTTTCTATTTTTCCTGTGGTTTGGCCCTGGTATGTGCAATGATGTATCTCATTTGCTTTTTTTTTTTTTTCCTCAGTGCACACCACCAGAGACTTGCCCTTCTTGATAGAAATGGAAATTTACCTATAGAGACACTTTGACATTATAGGGCAAACACACACCCAGGCCCAGATGAGGGCATTAATTGGGCCTTTTTTGTGGATTAGCTAAAACTGCTCCTACCTTTGGAATTCACACTTCTGGGGAGAACTGAATCATTTTGGCCAGAGACCTTAGAAGCCTCCTGAGAGGGAGCAATGAAAAACCCCAAGAGTTTGAGTTAGGAAATAGCTGAAATGGCCCTGAATGGCCCTGGGAAGGAGGTTGCTGTTAAGAGAATAAAAAGTCTGCACGTGCCTCTATCCGGCACCAGAGGCACAGTGTCTGAAGCACATGAACTCTTCAAAGTCCCATGAAAATGTCTGAGACATGAAGCAAAACAAGAACATCACTAAACTGAAATTAATCAGATATTTAAATAAATATCTACATATCAAAATATCATGTAAACTGCAATGATCTGCTTTTCCCCAAACTGCTGCTTCAGCAGAAATCTTCATGGGCAAGTTTGGGTTGTAACCTCAGGTGACCAAGCTAAAAAGTGAAGAGTGCTGTAACCTCCTCTGGAGTGGTAATGGGAAATCCCTCCAGACTCCCTTCCTGCGGGCTAGGACACCCCCACTCTACAGCCTCAAAGGGCAAGTGTCAGACTTCTGGTGTCCACCCTGGAGGAAGGGGAGGAGCTAACCATGACAGATAGTCTCCCTTTCCCTCTGCCTCCTTGTTTTCCTTCTTCCTCATTCCCCTTCCACAAACCTTCCCTGGCTATAGCAGTGGGAAGAAGTTGGCTGTCTTGTGGGGGTAGAACAAAGTTTTCTGCAAATATTGGGGGTAGCAGCAGGAGTAGTAGAGTCAAGCAGAGCCGATGAGATCCTATTAGGGGAGAAAGGTTTTAGTCAAAGACCAATCTTTGGGTGTGGAATCCCCACTTAGATTCCTGAAGTATATTTTGATACCAAAAAGTATTTGGAAGAAAATAAAAAATCTATTGTCTAATCAAATCTAATTAAATATGCTCCCCGAAGAGTACAGTTTTATATTTTTAGTATTATTATTTTTAATCTTTACCCAAGGACAGGCTGAGAGAGAGATAGAGAGAGATAGACAGACAGAGAGAGACATTAATCGGTTGCCTTCTGTACGTGCCTCAACCAGTGATCAAACACACAACACAGGTGTGTGCCCTGACTGGGAATTGAACTGGCAAACTTTAGGTGCACAGTATGGATAACACTCAGCCAACTGAGCCACTCTGGTGGGGCTAAGAAGATGGTTTTAAAGTGGAGGCAAACAAGTGAAATTGAGATTGAATACAAACTTCTTATTTTGGGAGTTATGAGGAGGGATCAAGAACTTAAAAAGCTGAGAATATCAAGTTTAGCTTTGTAATCAGATAAATCTTACAAAAGTCAACCTGACTCTATGTACAAAATCATAGAGCAATAGACATAAATGATGACCATTAGCATTACTTAGAATAAAGCTAACAGCATGTTTTTATGATTTTTCCCTTCTACATTAAATTTTTCTCTAATATGAGGATCATAAAAAACAAACCACTGGCATTCACTCATACACAAAGCGAATTCCCTCCACTGCTGAGTTTATTTGTATGACCCTTCACCCACACTTTCTTTCTGTGTCAGAGGCTAGGCTCTTGACCTTGTTCCTTCCCGTCTCTGGAAACTTGCTCCATCATATTCCTACATTCTATATTTTTAATCCTCATTTCTCCGCCCTTACCTCATATGCCTTCCCACAAGGCTCTCTGCCTGCCAACTACACATGGCCCGTCTTCCTAGTTCCTGTCACTACCAATTTCCTTGAAAGCATAGTTAATACTCAGTCTCCACAGCCCCCAATTCCATCAACTTCTATTATTTGTGTTGTTTAATTAAAGCCAATCTTACTTTGTCATTGTAAATGGCATCTAAAAACATTTTTTATTTATTTATTTTTATTTTTATCAAAGTAACCCATATACAAAGTGTATAGGGTCTAATAAAACCAGAAAATGTATAATGCTTACAGCAACCTCTGTTCTACCTCTCCTTACCCCCGAGTCCCACTCCCCAAGGGCAATTGTTTTTACATCTTGTTGTTATTTCTTTTGCTATTTATCTTCAAATTTCAAAATAACATGAGAATTGTATCATGTTTCACTTCCCACAAAGGACAGAATTTTGCTATCTTACCCATCACTCCGTACATACATCTCCTCTTCTCCCGCCACCCTTATATCTACAGCAATTTGTTTTACTATTTTACTTCCCTCAAGTGTAGGATCCTTGACTACCATTCATATTTAAGTTTGAAGGCATTAAAATGTGGAATGGTAGTTTTAGACACCTGAACATCTTTTTTTCCAGTATCTTTTTTTTATCCTAACCCGAGGACATTCTTCCATATTTTGTTCAGATAGAGCGGGAAGGAGAGAGAGGAAGAGAGAGAGAGAGAGAGAGAGAGAGAGAGAGAGAGAGAGAGAAACATCGACATTTAAGGGACACATCGAGTGGCCGCCTTCCGCATGACCCAACCAGGGCCTGGGACAAACTGCAACCGAGGTACATGCCCTTAGTGGACACCAAACCCGGGCCTCTCTGGACCGCAGGCCGATGCTCTAACCGCTGAGCCAAACCTGCCAGGGCTCCAGTATCTTTAATCTTTTTATTTCTTTACTGTCTTCCCAGTAGGTTTTCAAGAGGACAAAGAGATAAACACATGTTCTCAATTCAGCAAGCTTAACCATTAACTGCCTAAACAAAGCCAGTCTATGTGCTGCGCTCTCCTTCCTGATCAAGGCATTCCTACGAAGGTCATACAACTATCAGTTAACTAACATGTTGTCAGCATTCATCCTACTTGACTTCTCTGTTGGTCAATAATTCCCACTAAAATTTTTTCCCTGGGTATATGTTAAGACTACTATCTCCTGTTTCTTTATCCAGCCCTTCTATTATTCAGCCTTATATTTATTTCTTCATTGGTTCTTTCTCATTTTCTAATTAAATTAATTTTTATTTACATAAAGACAATTTTTTTTCTCTTAATTAGTGTTTGCAGGGAAAATTTTCTCCAGCTTTTTACCTTACCTGTTTATATCAATATATTTAAAGTGTGATTTTTGTAGCCAGAATATAGTAGGGCTTTAAAAAAATTCTGATCTGACATTCTCATCTAAATTCGTCTTTTTATAAACCATCTATTACATGTAACTCCCATCTAACTAGCCTTACAGGGTTAATGCTTTTTGCCTTTGCCAGGTATAATCTATAGTTTGTTGTTGAATTAGTAGGTTTAATTTTAACATTATAATATTTCTAAATGTAACTCCCAATATGGTTGGATGTAGATCTACCATCTTATTTGTTTTCTGCTGGTCACCTCTGTTTTCTGTTTCTTTGTTTTCCCTGTCTTATTTTGGATTATTTTTATTTTCTAATATTCCATTTTAATTAATCTACATTTTTGGTTTTTTACTGGGCAGGCCACATTTGAGGAGAAACCTGAAATGAAAGAAGGGCATGAATCATCCACAGATCAGTAGTAAAAGTGCTCTGTGCATAGAAAATAGCTTGTGTGAGGACCCTGAGGCAGGCAGGGAGCCTGGTATTTCCAAGGAAGAGCAAAATGCCCGAGTGGAGTGATTTGAGTGCAGAAAAGAATGCTTGACAATGAAGTCAGATCAGTGGGCAGCAGACAGATCTTGAAGGGACTTGGTTGGCCACAGCCAAGAGTGCAGATGTTATTCTCAGTGTCATGCTAAGGCACTGGAGAGAGGGTTCCAAGTGGAGGAATAACTTGATCTGCTTTATGTTTTTGAGAGGTCTGTCTGCTGTGCTTGGAGAACAGCATGTAGCGAGAGGGACGAGAGCAGATGCAGAGAGGCCAGTTGGAGGCTCCTGAAAGGTGGGTGAGGAAGGACTTACGAGGATATCAGTGGCAAAAATGAGAAATGACTGATTTCAAAATATGCTTTGATGGCAGAACTGACTGAATTGCTCATGAGTTAGATGGAGGATGTGAGGAAAGAGAGGGGTCAAGAATGATTTCCACTGGACTACGAACTCCTCAAGGATTGGAAGTCTGTCTTATATATCTCCATATCTTCAATTCCAACGCCAATACCTACTTTGTGGGAAAGAACATAAGATTTGCAATCAGGTGAGATCTGATTCTTGCCCCAGTACTTCTGGTTAAAAGACTATCTAATCTCTTTTGAATATCAGCTTCCTCATCGATCAGTTACAATAATAAATTATGCATCATTGCTGAGAACCTGGTATGTTGATGCTAAATTCTCAATAAGTACTTACCACGTAGACAACACTGGCCCTGCATCTGAGGTCTTTTGCTGCCGATCCCCATTTTCCTCACTTCTCTACCCCCAACACTGTTACCTGGTGTTCCATAACTTTCTTGCCTACTCCAAACAAAGAGGTTCTTTAGCTCCCACTCTCAGAGGTATTCCAAATGGTATGTCTCAAAACCCATACTTAAAAGAGTTCGACTCTTGGAATTACATCTCATCATAGTGCAAATTGCCTAGAATAAGTTTTCTCAAATACTTCCTTAATACCAAGCAATTCCTTGGGGCAGAACCTCAAAAGATGACTCCAGAAGGAGAAAAGTAACACAAGCCCCCCTGAAAAAAGCAGGAAACACTCCATTATACAATGTTCTATTGAGGTTCCTCCGAAACAAAGAAGCAAAACTACCATTATTCAGCTGCACACTTCAAATTGGTTTAATTTGCGTTGTATCTCTTAATCTTAATTCCAAAGCGAATTTAAAATAATACAAATGAGATAAAAATGAGAATGGCAAGTTTTGTTTAACTCTTCTATAAAGAAATGCATGTTGAACCACCTGTTCTGCTGTATTGCCGACGCTACCTTCCATTGCGATTCTGAGTGCCTATTCTGCCTAGTCTCAGTCGCCTATTTTGTGAAGCTATTTTCAACTCTACAGATTTATTTCAATATATTTTCAATGGGGAATGAAATTGTAAATGAGAAAGAGTTAGTACACCAAGCAGCAAAGTAAACAATACATAAATCATTTATTTGCCAAATAATTAAATTATATGTATAGGCCAGATACCCCTTGGGGGAAGTAATAGTCTTGATAGTCAATCAAATCAGAAACTTTTTTTCTTTTATATATTGGCTATTTGCCTGTAATCAAAACAAAGTAAAAATACACTTTTTTTTTTCCCCAAAACAAAAACAAAAATTCTATTAGTCATTCAAAGTATTGCAATACAATTCTTGCTAAGGTTGAGTTATTGCTCATTAATATTGCCATTGAGTATTAAAATAAAATTGTTCACTATTTTCAGAAGTGAGCATGAAAAATCAAGTGGGTCCATTTTTACAAGCGAACAGGAAGCTTACCTCTAATGCACAACTGTACTGTTCTAGTTCTACATAGACGAGTGCACGATTAATGAAGGTATTTAATGTCACAGTTTTTCCAGCATCAAGAAGAAGCACAATTCCATAATCTTTCAATGCCTAAAAATAAAAGAATCACTTATAACCTAGATTCAGCTCTTTGGAGTCTTACTGCATTGGACAAGGAAGAATGTATTTATGTCCAAACTAGGACTCCATAGTTAGTACTTAATTTGACTTACAATTTATGGTCCCAAATAATAATTTGTTGGTTCTAAAGGGTCCCTTTAACTAAATATTTGAATACTGCTCCCTTTTAATAAGTGGCGCTTGACTGTCGTTGTACTTCACGTGTTCTTTGTGAATCATCCTGAGCATCACTATTGTGTATGGGGGAAGGGGGCAGACAACACGCTTCCCTGACTCAGCAGGTTCCCCACATGGCTATTGAGCACTTGTTACCTTGTGAAATTTAATTTCTTTTTAGTATCTTATTGTACTTGTCATGGAAATCTAAGTTTTATGGAGGAAGAGCTTATCCATTTCCCCCCACCTTTGTAAAGCCAGTAACCAGCACCATACCTGCACATAATAGGCAGTCAATAAATTTTTGTTGAGAGAATAAATCATGAATCAATGAAAATGGGTTGTAATAAAACTAACAAATAAGCATTTGTTGGAAAATGATTTCAAAATATTTTGATAGATATACTAAGGTTGTTTGTTTTTTTAAAAAACATTAATCTCAGTTGAGAATTAATCAACTCAGAAAATCTCTATTACTTTTATCTTTTTATTTCATTCACTGAACAGAGGAATTTTTACTGGTTATCTACTCTGCACCAGGTACCAGGAGCATCCCAAATTTGTGTTGGAGCTGAATCTCTTTATTCATTTTTGCACTGAACATCTTGTCCAAAAGAGCTATATAATTTAATCAGAAAAGGGCCAAATCTCATATGTCATAGCACATGCTAAATGAAAATGCAAATAAATCATATCTTACTATTTGCTCAGGTCCTCTAGTGTTTCATGATTAGGCACTCAGCTGTCTAAAAGACCTGGACATTTAAAGATCCAATATGTACATTGTGGCATAATTATTAACACACATTGCCAGGGTTGTAGAAATAATTCAGAGTACTTATAAAAATACAACTAGAATGCTAGCACTGTTCCTGTCATAGAATCACAGAATATAAAACCTGTAAGATGCCTCGAGATCCATTCAGCCCCTGAATATTTGACACAAGAGGAAACAAAAGCTACAAAATGAGCCTCATAAAGGTCAATGAGCAGGATTTGTATCATGCCTCTGCTATTAGTACTAGCTTTTCAGTCTTGAGTAAGTTACTTAACACTAAGCTTCAGTTTCCTCATCTGCAAAATTGGGATATCAATAATTCATCATATTGTGGTGAAAATTCATTCTGTGATATATTGATAAAACATTTAGCCTGGTGCCTACCACACAATAAGCCCTAAGTGGTAACTGTTACTATTTTTATTAACATAAGGGAATAAGAACCAGAATTCACCTGCTCTTAATTTTTATGAAACCATATCTTGGGAGAATGTCCAAGTACATTTCCCGCAGGAAGACACTTGGGTTTTCTCAGTGTAGTGTTGGCAGGAATGCTGTAAAACAGGTGGAGATAGCCATAAAGGGAGGAGGTAACCCTGTTGAATGACATCCGGTCCACGTGCTAGAGGTCAGATGTTTTTCAAAGCCGCCTAAAGACTGTTAACCAGAAGCAAACAAACCTGTGAACACCAGTACAGGACTTTACTCCCTGTGTGACTTGGACATGTTTCTAACTTCTCCCTACTTGTATTTCCTCTTCTGGAAAATGAATGATTGGATGAAATGGGCTGGGTACAAGGCAGCTCTAAAATAGCCAATATGATTTATTCTAGCAGTTAGGTCTCTATTTAGGTGGTTTTTCATTTTTCCTGTTCATAAAGCAGTGGGCTCAGTTACATATCCGAGATAACAAAAATGGGAGTTCCTTGCCCCCACCCAGCCCATTGTTTGTGGTTTCTGAGTTACCCAGAAAAGGCAGGAGTAGGGGTGGGGAGGGAGCCATCAAAGACACCTACTGTGCAGGTTACTGTGATAAATGATCCCTTAATTAGTCCTAGAATCTTAACTCCTTTGTTAAAAATTAGTTACTCACTTGCCAAGGTTCCTGGAGGAAACCTAATCCTCTGGTTAAGAGGAATTCGATATACCTTCCTATAGAAACAATGTTTCTCAACTTCCCTTCCACAGCAAATAAATTTCAAAATCTCTAAATGTTTTTAAACAGATTTAACTGCCCACATTTCAAGGAGATTGAGGGAGCATGTCCAACCAGAACAGGAATGCGATGTAGTCTTTTAAAGGAATGGCTCATTCGCTGTGGAAGTGGATAGAAACAGGGAGGGGACATCAGTGGACAACAGAGAAAGAAGCAAGTGATGGGGACAGAACACTAAGAAGACCACAGACCAGATGCCTCCCAGTGAGGAATCTTGATTGAAAAAGGACCAATTTGACAAAGAGAAGGATAAGAGGGGTAAGATTTAAAAAAATATAAAAAAGGGCTTGCACAGGTAAAAGCTGGAGAGGATAGAGAGAGAGAAAGGTTTGCTGCAGCCACCAGGTAGGCCTTCAAAAAGCACAAGAAGTTCTGGTCACTGGTCCCTGGGGCTGAAAACCATCACTCGAAACAGCTACATCTGTGGTCTGAGTCCTGTGTAAAAAATACCTCAGCGAACTGTTCTAGCTGATGTTGAGATTTTGAAGCAACAATATTGCTAATGACCACGGCTTAAAAATTTTGCACACAGTGCATCAATAGAAACATTTACTCTAATGAGAATTGTGTAATGTATTTTAATTTATATATGCCTTTAAATGCTTATGTAAGCCTTGTAAAATCAATTTTTTATTTGACATTGCTGAGACTGTACAAGGAAATTTGGTGAGCACTAACAAAGAAATGAACTATACTTTGAAATGGTTCTTTGGTTTCTCAGGTTGTGTGTGTGTGTGTAGCGTGTGTAGCGTGTGTGTGTGTGTGTGTGTGTGTGTGTGTGTGGCGTGTGTGTAATTCCAGAAGAATTATTTTTCAAAACTACAACAGAAATAATAAGAAAATATCTTACATATGCTTTACATGTGTTTACAGGTGCTTTAACATTTTGTTTATTAAAATGGCCATCTTACCATTTGAATTTCACTCATCTTGGCGTAACACAATGCTCTGTTGTAAAATGCTATATAACTATTTTTGTCCATGTTGATGGCTGTAGTTAAATCTGCAACTGCTAGCTTATAAGTCTACAAAGAAAAAAATAATTAAGTGAGAAGGGTTAGTCATAATGGACTGAAATTTAATTGTAAAATTAGTGCTTGATTCCGTCAGAGTTTTTGGAACACTGTGTAGCATCTGTGATATGAAGATGATCAAGCTCATCTTTCACAGAGTTAATTAAGAAGATCTCTTTGCAGTAATTATTATTAAAGATTCTGTTACTTGGAAATAAAATTCAATATAAAGAACTTTAATTTAGATGATTATCTTATTGCCCATGTTGATATGCAGCAAGGAGAAAATTATACTTCTTATTGGTAAGAGAGAAGCAAGTCATAGTCCCCCAGCAACATTCACAAGCGCTTGCTTGCTCCTGCCACTCACACCATCGTACCACATAATTGTCACGTTTTCTACCCTCGCTCTCTTTTGCTTCCTCGTTGATGCTTCTCTGATACCTCAGATCATCCATTTCTATAGATAGTAATTTTCATGGAATTAACACATAATACAAGGTCTTACCTTTGCTTTAAGGTATTATTTGCAAAATATTTCATATGAAATAGCTACAAAGAAAGGTTACAAAAGAAAAGTAGAGAAAAATAAAGAATCCCGTGTCGTGTCAGATATCAATGCTGCTACACACTCCCTCTGACCCGGTGACTTCCCTTTAGGAATCAACTGGAAACTCAAGCAGCGACTGTTTTTGGTGTGTATACCTGTATTGTCTAAAATAACTTAAAAATTTTTAAACCCAAATTTTCAACAATCAAGTGGTAAAAAAAACAACAAAACAACTAAGATGCAATATTATTCAGTCGTTAAAAATGGTATCTTCAGTCCGGTTGGTGTGGCTCAGTGGCTGAGTGTTGACCCATGCACCAAGAGGTTGCCAGTTTGATTCCTGGTCAGGACACATGCTCAGGTTGTGGGCCCGATCCCCAGTGGGGCGCATGCAGGAGATGGCTAATTGATGTTCTCTCTCATCAATGTCTCTATCTCTCTCTCCCTCTCCCTTCCTCTCTCTCTAAAATCAATAAAGAAAAAAAAATTTTTTTTAATGCTATCTTCAAAGGTTAAGTGTTAGAAGCAGGGCACAACACAAATTATATAAGTAGCATAACCCCAATTTTGGAAAACATATACCATATATTATTAGAAAAAAAGACAATGCAAACACCCCAAAATGCTCTCAGAAATTTTCAATTGATGGTGAGAGAATAGGTGATTTTAGTCTTCTTTATTCCCTCTCTGTATTTTCCAAATGAATAATATACTACTTTCTAAATAAGAAGTGCTATTTAAAATGTAAATGTCAAAAAAAAATCACTGTTTTGTAACCCTTTTGACGTACTGTGAAAGTGTAAGGTGTTCTCAGTAGCTCTGCTCATAACACAGGGGTGAGTCTTCTCTCACAGAGAGAAAAGCAAGTGAGTCCCTCCTGGCATCTGGAATCCGCCCACCCTAAACTCCCCATGAACAAGGCAGGAAAGTCCCTACCTTGCTGTAGTATTTCATAACTCCTCGGTAGATGTAAGCTCGCACACTCTGAGGATAAATTTTTATGGCTTCATTACAGTTTAAGATTGCTTTGGAGTATCTGCCTTTCAAGCCATAGAAGGCTACTCGGCTTAAATATGCCTTTTCAGAAAAAGAGGGGGAAATTGGGAATGGGTGTTACAGTAAAAGTATCAATTCTACCCAAATATATGGTAGTTTGGACCAATCTATGCCACCCAAAGATGGTATAAAAGGTAGTCTTTCTCCACTCTGTTATTAGAAAAAAATTCAAACATACAGAATGACTGAAAGAATAATACAATGAACATCCATATGCCTACCACCTAGATGAAATTATTATTAATATATTTGCAATATTTGTTGTATCTATTTTCCCCTGAAATATTTAAAAATGGGTTACGGACATCATAACAATTTACCCCTAGTCTCCAGTGTGCTTCTCTTGGGAATAAGACATGCTCTTGTACAGTCATACTACCATAATATATCTAAGAAAATTAATAGTATTTCCCTAAAAACATCAATATTTGGTCCATATTTAAAATTCATAGACTTTTAAAATTAGAATCCAATACAACTTCACCTATTTAATTTTATGTTGTCCTTCTAGTCTCTTAAAAGTAAGAAATAAATGTGATACAAAACAAGAAGTAAATAAAATTAATAATGTAGTATATAAAAGTATAATTATTAATCGATACATTAAAATATTAACAATATTTACATACATCACAATTTACAAAACGCGTTTGCATATATAATACCCCTGCTGGAAATAATATTTTTAATTCAAAAGGAAATACAGATATATGCATTGTCAAAACAGTTATCTGAAAAGTAGGTATAAGTAACTGATTGTTGCTAAGTAATAACAATGACACATAAAGGATTTAGTAGTTTGAGGAAATCTATAACACACTTTCTAAATCACTGGAAGTATTCATTTAAATACCTCATAATGCTGTGGTTTGAGGTTAATTGCCTGATTAAAATCCAGGATCGAGCTATCCTTTTGGAGTTTTACTTTACAAAGCCCACGCTGATAAAAGCCTTCTGCAAAATTAGGATTTGTTCTCACAGCTTTTGTAAAAGACTCAAATGCCTAGAAGAGTACATTGTTACAAAGCAAATTGTTTAATGAGTAGAATTTATTAGTTTATAATGTTAATAAATTACTGTATATAACTATTGTTAAAAATTTCCCATCTTTTTTAGTCATTTTAAATACATTTTCCCCAGTGAATCTTGTAGAGCAAACAAAAGTGATATTTATGAACAAGTCAGGTTTATTATAAGTTACAGGTCCCTGACTCCCAGATTAATGTCTACATAATCCATGTTGTTAGATTATAATACTTTTGCAGGGGTAATTTTAATAATTATTTTTCATACTGTGTTTCTTCAAAGAAATCACAACCAGTACATCTGTTTTCCAGGAGGGCCCCCAAACCATTGCAGATGCATAGTTATGAAACTTCAGAACAACACAACTCCAACATTTTCTCCAACATTGTAAAGCAAAACTAGGTTTGTTCTGGTTGACCAAAAGGACTAAAAACATGAAAAACATTTGTAATTAATCTTATACTTACTGGAATTTCTTAATGGAACAACTAATCAAGTGCAATTCTGTTTCAAGATTTAAGATGCAAATTTCAGACACTGTCCACTCCTATGAATATGAGGACAGGAATGGCGTGTGCATGTGTGTGTGTGTGTGTGTGTGTGTGTGTGTAAAGAGATACAGCTGTGGAATATCCAACATTAGCCATTGGAAAATATCAGTTATTTTATATATTTATCATATCATTGACAATTTTGAAATGGAGAATTGTGTAAAATAGCCAAATACTAGCTGAGTATATAAAAATGGAATCAACTGGTTTTCAATGAGTCTGGACATCTAAATAACCAGTTTCAATCTGATAGGAATTTTCAGTTGTCATTAAGAAAAACTGGTGTCCTAATCATTTTCCACTTATTCTACATTAGAATGAACCACTCAATTTAAAGTATTTACAATTTAATAAGTAAATTTATATTAATTGAAGTTATTTTGCTATAATAAATTCTTACAGTTAGATTTATTGTTTAGGTGAGAAACACACATTAGTCTTTAGAATATTGTTGACAAATAAGCATCAAATAAAATGTGTTGGAGAAATAAAACAATGAGATTGGTGATGCAAGGTGCACACTGACCATGTTTTGTGTGAAGCTTTGGTCTACTGTATTGGTCACTACCTGTATAGGTAGCCTTCAGAAATCAAACTAAATGCAAGCAATTTCTAAAATCACAAATAACTTATGTTCCTAAATACACAAAATACCATTTGTAAGTTGCCTTCATCCATGTAACAAAGACCCAAGTTATACAGACAGTCCACTGATGCCTCCAAGTCGTTTGGTCCTTTATCGGAATGAGAAAAGACATCCAAAGCCTTTTTAAACATCCTCATAGCTTCCTACAAAAATAAAGGAGGGATAGGGTTGAGATGTTTCTTTCTACTATTTCGTAACATGACAGCCTTAAATGTTCAAAGGAATCGTGAGCACACAGCCAAGTTCCCACACAGGTCTTGAGGGTCCACAGCGAGAAGAGGACCAAGCCTGTCTGATGGCACCCTGTCCCACCAGGAGCCTAGCTACCAGCCGGCACTGAAGCAGGCTTACACACATGGACTTCTGAACCACGCTTTCTAAATTCTAAAGATTATTTTCTTGTAGTCTTAAATTAAACTTAAATTTATAGACAAGTTTATGACCAATTTCCTAGTAATTTTCCTGAAAGGAATACTAGGCAGCTTTTAGGTAGAAAAAAAATCTCCAATGATATATATGATGTGGTTTTAATCAACCTTTGTTTTGTCCTGCTGTGTTCTCAATAGAGTTCTATTGACACTAGAAAATAAACTAACATAAAAAAACACCCATTTAAACTAGTTAAATCAAAATAATTGAAACTCATTAATGAAAAAAAATTAAAATTTTCAAATAGAAATGCCCTTTCAAAATTAGCTAATCAATATACACATTTATATAGAAACATAAATACTTGTGACTCTTTAGCCCATTTTCTTAATTCTATTAAATTGCTAAAGAAACAATGAGATTTGCCTTGGTCAGTTTTGCTCAGTGGTTAGAGCGTCCGTCCATTCACCAGAGTCGCGGGTTTGATTTCTGTCAAGGGCACATACCTCGATTGCAGTTCAGTGTCCGGCCCTGGTTGGGGCGTGCGGGAGGCAGCCAGTTAATGTGTCTCTCTCATATCGATGTTTCTCTCTCTCTCTTCCACTCTATCTGAAGATAAATGAAAAAATATCCTCAGGTGAGGAAAGAAAGAAAGAAAAAGAGAGAGAGAGAGAGAGGGAGGGAGGGAGGGAGGGAGGGAGAGATTTAATTTGGATATGTAAAGTGTCCAATTTAAGTAAGTTGGCATTTTTTCCACGTTTACATCCCACCTCAACATCCATCCTTCTAATCTCACACTCAGTACTTGACCCTGATATAGGAAAAATCATCACCTCAATTTCCCTCCTTTTAACTTTTCGTGTAGCTATACCTTCCTCCATTTCCATTTTTTTCTCTCCTGTCCTTGGTGTCCTTTCTTCTTTTCAGAGCTAACTGAAGCTGTGCCCTCTACCCAGCACCACACAAATAATTAAGAGACAGTCATAAACGGCAAGAAGATATGTACCGTACATATAACCAACCAATAATTAGTAACAGAGCTTAGTTTTAAAATGCCTAAAATTGATATGAAAAACACAAAAAGTGCATATAGAAAATGTATAGAATAGGAAATATGAGTGGCTCATAAACATATAAGAAGATGTTCAACCTGAGCTCAAACTGAGAAATGTGAATTAAGACCACAAGAAGCCATTGGACTTTATCGTCCAAATTGACAAAAATAAAGTCTGACAACACCAATTATTGTAGAAGATGCAGATTAGCAGGACACTCGTACTGCAGATGTGGAGATAAACCGATACAACCTTGTGGCACAATGCCGTTATACTGAAAGTTAGACATTCACATTCTCTATATACCAACAATTTCACTCCAAGAAAATTCTGGGATATCCTGGAAAACTACTCCACATGTTAACAGAAGACATAAAAAAGAATATTTATAGTAGCCCCACTCTTAAAAGAAATAAAACGAAACAACCCAAATGTTAATTAACAGAAGAATCAACAAATAAATGATGTAACTTAGTTTTGTAAAAGGATATGTAAGTAGTCATTCTAAGCAAAATATAAAAGAATTCCATTAATAGGTTTCATAAATATTACTCAAAACTTTGTACCTTGTTTCTCTTGGCCTTCATTAGGGCTTTTGCCAACAGAGTAATCATGGTGATCTCAGGTCTACTCAAAGTGGCCCTATCCAAGACCTGAATGGCCTTGTCATGGTTTTCGCAAAATGAATAAATGAGAGCTTGCTGTATAGGACTCAATTCAATGAGACCTAAAAGGAAAGCAATGTTTATCAATACCTTTGCCAAGTATCTAAGATTTAGAATATATGCAATATTTTGAGGAATTCAAGTAACTCGATCTATCTTTTCATATGAATTAACAAATCAATATGATACTGAAATCTATTTACTACCAACAAACAATAAGACATTCCAACACAACCAAAAAAAATAAACAAAAGTGTAAGCCTGGTATTTCCTATAATAATCTCTCTCACACGTCACTGTTCTGAAGTATTTTACTAATTGATATGTACAAAGGAAATGGAAGTTTTAAAATTTTAAAATCTAACTTTGACTTTCAAGTGAACCCTTCCAGTTATCTATATATAGCTATTGCAAATCGAATAAAAAATTTTAAGAGGTGTTTACTTTTAAGTTAAGACAATTATAATTTTGCATTAATTATATTTACCTTTGTTCATTTCTGCTACTTGATAAATAGTGAACTTTGCAAGATCATAACATTTCATCTGAAGAAGATATTGTCCCCTAGAAGAAATAATACCTTTTTCATTCTAAGCAGTTAAAAATAATTTTTCCACAAAAAAGTTCCTTATAACCAGTTACTTAAAAATTTGCAATGATAATATATTTATTTATACTTACATATGTATGATAAAAACAATGTGAAAATTATAAATATTTTATGTAGTCTAAATGGACTGATTAGCTTGGAAATGTGATGGAAAAACAATTTAGGGACTATAAAGCTGAAAGGAAAAACTCAAATCTTTTGGCTATGATCTGTATTTAAAACGTTAAACTCTGTTGCTGAGAAGTTACTTAAAGATCAACACAGTTTAAGGGACATAAAAGTGGAAAAGTATTTAGATAAATTGTTAAAATGTGGTTCAAGAGTTTAAAAACAAACACAAAAAAGCCATTATCAGAAAGCATTGTTTTAGTCCATTGTCCCATGTCTATAAGTCCATTTCCCATGTGAGAGACTATGACATATTTTTCATGGTGATAACTCATAACTTGCAATAGATCTCTTTATAGAAAGCTCTATGGCATTTGAAATACAATCCAATGTGTCACTTCTTATTTCTTTTTTCACTGACTTAGCTGAGGTGTACAATGGGCACCTCTGTGGACACAATCAAACAACTGTTCAAAATATGTTAGCTTACTTTCATGAGCTATGTGATAACTATATAACCAGTCATCTAGAGAGGCCTCAAAGAACTTAAAACTCGGAACAGTTGTATTTTGATGCAAGGACAGAGCAAAGATCTGGTTGTCTTATAAGTGATCTTGAAGTTTAAAACAATAACTATGTCTAATTTGGTGGTTGGGAGATGGCTGTGTTGGGAGATTAAATGTAAAACAAGGATGCTGGAAGGATCAAGAGAGAACTTGAATAATTGTATTTCTATGCCCATACCTTATTATATATAACTGGATTCCATCTGGCTGAAGGTGAATAGCACAAGATAACTCTCTTACTGCCTTTTTCAACTTATGCATCTGTTGATTTATAAAAAGAAACTTAGCTCATAATAACACTTATTGCTTCCTTTCTGATGTTTATCTCCTCTCATCCTTCAATACAGATATTTTACAGAAACGTCTCCTAACATATTTTTCTTAAGAATTATGATAGCAAATGTGATACAAAGAAGTAAAAAGAAAAGTTTGTGATGGAGTCTTGGTTTTTTAAACCATTTATCTTTAATTTTGAAGAATTTTTTTACATACCCACATATACATGTAGGTATATCATATATTCTGGTTTATTTTCCCTTTTTGTTTAGCTGTTCAGTTTTTCTCCCTCATCCACAATACCTTTTCCACCAAACGTTATTCATGTTAGTAAATAAACCAGCATGCAAAGGAGGGTAAAATTTAAAATAAGAGTCTATTCCACTTGCCCGGCCAGTGTGGCTCAGTGGATTGAGCATTGTCCCATGGACTGAGAGGTCCCGGATCGATTCCTGGTCAGGGCACATGCCTGGATTGCCGGCTAGATCCCCGGGGGGCGGGAGGGTATGCAAGAGGCAGCCAATCAATGTTTTTCTCTCACATTGATGTTTTATCTCTCTCTTCCTTCCTCTCTCTCTAAAATAATCAATAAAAACATATTTTTTACAAATGTCCATTCCACTTAAAAATTATGGAGAACAAACAGGTTTGCACTTAATAAGTAAATAAATGAATAAAACAAACTATAAACATAAGAAAAAAAGCCCTGGCCAGTTTGGCTCAGCAGTTAGAGCGTCAGCCTGTGGACCAAAGAGTCATAGGTTCGATTCTGGTCAAGGGCACAAACCTTGGTTGTGGTTTGGTCCCAGCCCTGGTTGGGGTCATGCGGGAGGGAACCAATTGATGTGTCCCTCTCACATGCATGTTTCTCTCTCACTCTCTCCCTCCCACTCTATCTGAAGATAAATGGAAAAACATCCTCGGATGAGGATATTTAAAGAAAAAATAATAATAATAATAAAAAAATGCCTGCTTAAAATCAATATAAACAATGTAAACATCGATTATTCCTTACTACTGGTCAGAGAATCGTCATCTGAATCTGTACAAATTTAAGACAAAAACTTACTATCATGGGAATATTACAAAAAGACTACACAAACCTCAACAAAATGAACCTGGGCAACCAACGACTCCTCTTACTGTGCTGACCTGGTGATGCAAAGAGGAGAACACACTAATCTGTGCATGAAAGTAGACAGTACCTGTTAGAATGATACAAACTGTTTGGAGGAAAGAAGGGCTGAAGTCCAAAGAAGGAACCCAAAAGGAGAGAGAGAGTTTGAGATGTGTTTAAATCAACTTGAGAATTTCTGTGCAACTTCCGGCCTGTTGCTTCTCAAGATGACCTCACTCCGGTTGGTGTAATTTTTAAATCACCTATTCATATGTCTGTTCCACCCGTAAACATCTGTGCAGTTGGGAAACATAGAGGTTCACTCTTTGATCTTTACGATCTGTCCTGGGGTTGGACTTGTCCAGACAGCCTTAGATTAGATTCACCCTAGAGGCTGAACGCGCACAATAGGCATATGTCTTCTATATACACACACATGGCTTGATTTGTTGTTGTTTTATTTACATGGAATAATATTGTACACGCTTTACATTCCTTTCTGAATCTTGCTTTTCTTATACCAGTCAGCTGATATTGTTCTTTTTAAAATAAAATATATTGATGTAACATTGGTTAATAACTTTAAATAAGTTTCACCTGTACAAGTCTATAATATATCATCTGTATATTACATTGCATGCCTACTACCCAAACCTAGTTTTCTTCCAATGCCATATGATATAGTTCTAATTATTTTTTATTGCCTACATAATATTCTGTGTGTGACTACAACACAATTTATTCATTACTATGCAGAGATTTTTGCCTCCTCAGAACAATACGTCTTTGAATACATGTCTTTTTTTTTTTTAATCTTTATTGTTGAATGTAAAATGTATTACAAATGTTCCACATTTTCCCCCATTGACCCCCTCCTCCCCAGTCCCGCCCCCCTCCCGCCTTTTCCCACACTATTGTCTGTGTCCATTGGTTATGCATATAAGTTCTTTGGTTTATCTCTTCCCACCCCCCAACCCCTTTCCCTTTGAGGTTTGTCAGTCTAGCAATGAATTTGTACTTCTTAATCCCTTCACCTTTTTCACCCATTCCCCCTACCCCCCTTCCATCTGGCAACCAACAAAATGTTCTCTGTATCTATGAGAATGTTTCTGTTCTACCTGTTCATTTTGTTTGTAGATTCCATTGTTGATAGATATGTATTCATTGCCATTTTGTTTGTTCATATATTTTATCTTTTTCTTCAAAAAGACCCTTCATCATTTCATATAATAACGGTTTGGTGGTGAATACATGTCTTTATACCCTGACATTATGCTGGGGCTTTGGTTTCTAACTGCACTCAAAGGAAATTCCAGAAGCCCTCAGCTCCGACAACATGCAGTTAAGCAAAAGGACCACACGCCACAAGTATGTCCATCCCTTCCCCAGCAGGAGTCAAGAACAAACTTTCCCCAGGGACCATACTAAATCTAAACTGCCCCAGGTCTTCTACCTCTGTTGTCAGGAAGGTAAGAACTTTCAGGAATGGGACTCTAGTCACACTGGGTCCTGAGATGTAGACAGTGGAGAACAGAGCCTCTAACCAATTCTCCCTGGACAGGCAGTGTGAGTAAAAAAAAAGAAAAGGGGAAACAAACAAACAAAAAAACCCTTTGTTATTTTAATACTGTGATTTTTGAAGTGGGTTTTTGTTTTGTTTTGTTTTTTGTAGGGTGGTGTTTTGTTTTGTTTCTGTGGCTCCTCACTCTCACCAACCACAGCATAACCTAGTCTATCCTGTGTGACTAGAGGACTCGCAGGGGACCAGGGCAGAAAGGTAATGAGCTCATTCATGTGGGCTCTTGTAAACCTTTGGCTCTTGCAGGATTTGACTTATATTCTGAGTGCAAAGGGAAGCTTTTGAAAGGTTTAGGGCAAAGAACTGACATGTTTTAACAGGATCATTATAGCTGCTGCATTGAAAATTCATCAAAAATGAGTGAAGAACAGAAGAAGAAGACCAGAAGACTCCTGCAGTAATCCTGATGAGAAATGACAGGGTCTTGGGTAGGGCGTTAGTTGGTGGAGTCGTGGAAAGAGATATCTATTTTGAAAGAGAGAGACAATAGTGCAGTGTTTCTCTCTGAAAAATCAGGTTTAGTTGGGGTCAGCTGACTTCCTGTTTATTGTATTGTTTGAATTTGTTATACAAAGGACATAATACATTTTTAAATTCAAATTAGTTATAAATTAAAACAAAATCTAAGGGAAAGTATGAATGAATAGGATCCCATTTTATGCACAAATTCCATTTTACGAACCCACCTACTCACCAAGACACACACACACACACACCACGCACAAAACTGATAGACTCCAAAATGTTAATAGCAGTAATCCCTAGAGAATAAAATGAGAGATAGTTTTAAATTTAATTATATGCAAATAAAATTATTATATGCAATAAATATATGTTGCTTTTGTAATTAGAAAGAAACAGAAATTTTTTAAAAAAGAAAATGAAAGACAAAAATTCACACCTCATCAATACAGGCTTTATAACTGGGAAATTACAGTGAACTATAGCTACTTAATATTTATTGCTTATAAATGCATTAGCCTCTGTAATTAGCTAAAAAAGAATACATTAATATACTTTAAGTTATATTGAATACCCAGAAAATTAATACTTTTAAAAAAATCAAGGTTCTCAAACCTTAAATACCTTATGATAAGCTTCAGCTCGACAAATATAGCTTTGAATATATGAAGGATCAAGTTTAAGAGCCTCAGAAAAATATCTCACGGCTTCAGTGTAGTTATCCAACTGCAGCAGATATATGAGGCCAATATTTATATAAGCCAAAGTAACAGTTCTAAAAAAATAAAAAAGCAAAATCTTGTTAGACATTTTAATTATCTCAAATGTTCTCCAATTATGAATGAACCTAATGAACTACAGCAAAATGTGGCAGGTTTAATTTCTTACTAAAGTAAAGTTCATTAATTAACTACTCTCTGTTAAAAATTATTAACACCTTTATAAAATCCTCAGCAAAGAATCAATATTTGTTGAGTTTGTGCTAGGAACAGAATTCTGAAATCTTCTAGACTCTTAGCAATATTGTACTCTTCCTTCACTTAACCTTGATTTATCTTGAATTACAAGCTTAGTTTTCCTCAACTCAAAAGTTTCTGAGCCCTGGCTGGGTAGTTTAGTTGGTTGGAGCATCGTCCCATACACCAAAGTTTGTGGGTTTGGTTCCCGGGCAGGGTGTGAGTACGGGAGGCAAGAGATTGATGTTTCTTTCTCCCCCCTCCCTTTCCTCTCTCTCTAGAAATCAATTTATATATATATCCATCCTTGGGGGAGGATTCCAAAAAGTTCTTGCCTAAGATTATATTATATTAGTCATGAGTAACAGTGAGAAGCAATGATAGTCTCAAGGCTTGTGATTAAATATCCTCTCCACATATGTATTAACCAAATAATAGAACAAATAAATGTTTTCTCTCTCAGAATCAAACAATTTTCAATATATAAATGACCTTAGTAATTACCTATTCAATACCTCTGTTTCAAAGTGAGGAGACTACACATCCTACAACCCAATTTTATGGAAGCCCTGACCCTTACCTACAAGACGCCAAAGTTCTTATTGCCCCCTTTTTGGTGATTTGCAACTCATCTGGGGCAAAACAGATGTTAACAACAGGTCTTATTTTAGAAGTAATCTTATTTTTATAAGTAATATTTTAATTCTAGCATGACTTTATAATAGTATCATATTTACCAAGTTATTAATGATGAGGGGGAAAAGCTTTTTCTTTCATTTAAAAAAAATTTTATACAAAGGGGATATTAGCAAAAATGAAAAAGAAAACCTACCTTTCTAGAGAAATAACAGTTTCAAAGTCAGACATTGCCAGCAACCAAAGTTTTAGTTCTGCGTAGAGTATGCCCCGATGTAGGAAACAACCAAAATTCTCATAGCCATCATTTATGAGAGCTTAAAAATAAATGTGTATCTGTTATTCAGGTTCTGAATAAACATATCTGAGCTATATTTTAGTCTATACCCTTCCTCCTTCTTTTTAACATTATATAAAATAAAACAAGTCCACAATGAGTGTATTTACTTGAAGAGTACAAAATAGTCTTCATCTAAATCGTATTTGTTTATAAGTAACAGTGTGCTATCATGGTTCACAAACTAGTTAGAGCTGGAGAGAATACTGATAGTAATCTAGGATTGGCCGCTCACTTTACAGAAGAAATTAAGGTCCCGTGGGTACACTGACCAAGGCTGTGATGCAAATCAATGGCAAGGAGAGGCCTAGAATCTAGACTCTAACTTCTGATTCCTTTCCATGGATTGCAGTCAGAAGAGTGCCATGGCCCTTGATTGCCCTAATGGAAGACATGAAGATAGTCGTTTGCTAGTGGCCAAGGAACAGGCTCTAGTACAAGTCCAGACTGGGGAGCACGGCAGAGTTCCAGCTGACACACATAAACCAGGATTGGCAGCTCAAAGAGGCTTCACCAAGGGAAGCAGAATTTGGAGTTTAGGCAGATTAACTTGACTATGCATGTCCCAAATAACAGAAGCACGGGGCAAAAAGAGCCTCCTCTCAATACCCAGGTTTGTGCCCCTTGTCAATAACCAGTCTAGGGGTCATCTCACATCTCCTCACTTACTGATTCCCCTGTTCACTTTGAAAAACATGCTACTGACTGGGATGGGTTTTCTATGATATTTGATCAATGTCTTCTAAGCTTCTCAAGCTTCTCAATCTTGCTCCAGCTAAGAAGGGAAAGTTTTTCCCCAAAACGTGCATTGTGCTCACAGTCTGAGACACAAATATTCACGGTACTAGATTTTGGGAAGTATACCTAGTGTATAAAAATGGTCATATAGATTAAGTAATCACTTGCAGGCAATCTGACTGTTCAGTTTACAGTATGATTGGCTAGCAAGGAGGAAGTTAGCTGCAGCTGGTTGCTCTAGAAAAATGGAAAAATTCCTCCTAAGGAAAAAATATTAGAACTACGTAACTTCTCTGTGCCTTGGTTTTCTCATCAGTAAAGTAGGGATGACATTATCACCCCCTTATAACGTTATTTTGAATATTAATTGAGACATTCCATATATAGTACTTAGAATAATGCTTGACAAGTAATAAAATGCCCAATAAATGTTAGATATTATTATTAGCTTAGAAAAATGTCCTGAAGGTCCTTTTTTTATTGTGGAAAATACAACTTCTTAGGCTAGACTAGGGGAAAAAAATTGAGGCCAAAATCAAGCTGGTCTGGTCTGAATAATTACATAACAAGGATTTTGTATTATTGTAATAACTAAGAAAAGCAGGGATGAGAAGTTCAAAATGTGGAGAAGAGGAGAACATGAGAAAGAGGCCTTCGGAGACCTGGGTGAAAGGGGATGGCAGATGGACAGAGCAGACAGAGTTAGATAAACTTACAGAAACAGGAATGTTTGGCCTTCAGTATTAAATTGTCTGTGCTAACTTTACCCTTTCAACCCTAAAACGTCCAGAAAGGGACAGTAGCCGTAAGGAATTAATGGGTAAGCAAAGAAATGGAGAATCAACCAGAGGGCAAAACTTAGCTACAAAGATTATATGAGAATTAACAGGAATCCCCAGTCCTCTCTTCCAAGAAATACTGGAACTAGAAGGGAGGGCACTAGACTCCTCCTGGCACCAAGGGTGGGATTTGAGTTAATTTATCTGAATACCCATGGGAAGGGTGGCCTCAGAACGCAAATGTCCTTAGAGACATCCAATAGCAATCACCCTAGATTGCCTGCCACGAGGAGCACTGACTTCTCTTTGTGAGCCTAGTTGTGTCTTCGTGTCTAAATGTTGCCTTATTTGGGATTCTAGCACTTGGCACCCAGGTGAACACAGTCATGTTTGGAGTGTTGGTGGAATTTGCTGGTCAGGATGGGCTCATTTATTGAGCTGAGGACTGTCTACTGAGCACTTACTCTATACCCAGAATTGTGCTGGACATATTCATATACTAAGAATACACGGATAATAGACTAAGGAGGAAATGGTCACTATTAGCTGTTGCCATCCCCTTACTAAAGATTCTCAAAGCCCATTTTTGGTTTAAGGATTTAAAAATTCTGAATTTGACTAATCATGGGCTTGAATTATGTAGTAGGACATAGCCCACCAGGAAAACTCACTACCATTTTAGTAAGCTGACTAGGAAATAGACATAAATTTCCAGAAATGTCCTCAGAACTCAAGATGTAGAAAGATTTCTTTGGTATGATATTCTCTTTTTGCCACAATTATACACACACGTAAATATATGTATACTCACTAGAAACAGTTTTAGTTAAACTATTGTAGCTTATATCTGAATATATATTATATAAATATACATTAAAATAAGTACATATACAACTACATAATAATATGCATATTCCATTAGTCATCCCAGATTAGCATTCCGCTCTTTGAAAGTGATATGCTGAATCTCAGATCAAATTCCTATATATGTGCTATTGAAGACAAAGTACCTGAAACACTATAATCCTGTAGCGCTCTAAAAGGGTTACTCTTTCTAAATATGCAGGCTCTGTAATAAAATGCTAACCAGTTATTGGGATCTGAGTGAATTGCAGCAGAAAAATCTTGAGTTGCTTGCTTATAAAGGTGCCGTTTAAAATATGCTTTCCCTCGGTATGTCCTAGAAAGAGAAAAGAAATTCATTTTAACAGGTATTGCGAAATATACATTTTCTTTTTCTGGCAATCCTATACAACTAATTTCATATTTTAAAATTTGTGATTGGTCCTGGCTGGGTAGTTCAGTTGGTTAGAGCATCATCCTGATATGCCAAGGTTGCAGGTTCGATCCTTGGTCAGGGCACATACAGGAATCAACCAAAGAATGCAAAAATAAGTGGAACAGCCCTGGCCAGTTTGGCTCAGCGGTTAGAGCGTCGGCCTGCGGTCCGGAGAGACCCGGGTTCGGTTCCCGCTAAGGGCACATACTTCGGTTGCAGTTTGTCCCCGGCCCTGGTTGGTCGTGCGGGTGGCAGCCACTCGATGTGTCCCTTCATGTCGATGTTTCACTCTCTCTCTCCCTCCCACTCTATCTGTATAAAAAATGGAAAAATATCCTCGGGTGAGGAAAAAAAAAAAAAATAAGTGGAACAAATCTCTCTCTCTATCTCTCTGAAATCATGAATAATTTGTAATTATTTTTCCTTGCTTCCCAGGAAAGTTTGATCACAGTTAATAGCAAAGAGGATATAAACATTTTATAAAGAAATCAATTATACTTTATTGTATATGTAATTATATGCTTATTAATAATATGCTCCATATTAATTATTTTCTTACTAATTTTATTATATTTCCTATATTTATCAGAAATGTGTGTCAATAAAATAAGTATGAGCCCTGGCTGGTTTGGTTCAGCAGTTATAGCATCGGCCCATGGACCAAAGGGTTGAGGGTTTGATTCCCAGTCAAGGGCACATGCCAGGGTTGCATGTCTCTCTCTCTCTCTCTCTCTCTCTCTCTCTCTCTTTCTTCCTCCCTCTCTTCCACTCTATCTAAAATAAAATAAAATAAGTATGAGATCTTAAGATTTTTATTATTTTTGAGTACCCTAAGTTATACAAGATTGTTCTATAGAAAAGTCAAATTATCCATTTTGAATAAAATGGGCCTCACTGGGTAGAACTGTCATGGTATTTTCCCCTGACACTGAATATATGCCCAAATAAATGTGAAGCTGCTCTCCATGGGTAAAAGCTATTATATCAGTTGTGTGAATTGGATTCTATCTTCATTAACTTTACTCCAGTTTTGAAATTACCATTATTATTGACTTATACTCAAAATTATCACAACTATAACAATTCCTGAAAATCTTGTTTTCAATCACTTAATGTAAAATAAATAAGCTTTTAGAAATAAAGGAAAAACAGAAGGAATAGCTAGTAGTTTACCCACTCTGAAGAAAATAAATACGGGGGGAAGATAAAACACACTTAAAAAGTTTATAGCATTATGAAAACAAAAGGAATTTGGAGAAAAGAATGCATCCCTCCCCGGTCAGGATGGCTCATACACAAAAGGGTAGCGGGTTCGATTCCCAGTCAGGGTACATTCTAGAGGCAGCTGATAGATGTTTCTCTCTCACATCCATGTTTCTCTCTCTCTCTCTCTCTCTCTCCCTCCCTCTCCCTTCTTCTCTCTAAAAATCAACAACAAAAAAGAAATAATGCAGCTGGTATATTGGTAGGCTGGTAAAAGAGGTCTTTCAAAAGCACTAAGCATCCTGAGACCCAGGACATTTTATCCTGGTGAAAAATACCTTTTTTTTTTTAACCCAATCTTTAAAAAATGTTTTATTTATTTTCTTATAAATCCAAGAATTTTATATTTAATTTTAATGATTTCTGATTGCTAGAGGATATTACTATTTTTCAGCATATATATGATTCTGAACTTAAAATCTTACAGAATAAACCTGAAGTAATATCTTTGTGGGGCGCTATGAAGTCATGTCATTTCTTCAAACACACTGCTTTTGCATCTGTTCCTTTTCATTTTGACTGCCTCAGTTCTTCAGACCCTCATCTGAAGTGCTGAGCTACAGTGACCCTCAGCTCACACCTGGGCTACTATTTTCTCCATTTCTAGTTCTAGAATGACAGGATTTGATCATCAAATAATCAAGATCTCTTTTTCAAAAAATGTTCTACAGCCCCTGTTCACAATGGGATAAGGCCAAATTCTTTAAAATGAGATATAAGCCCCATCCTTATAAGATAATAGCGTCTTAACAGTACCTTGAATTAACAACCTTCTTGCTCTTCTCCAACTAATGTAATGCCTCCCTGTAACTAATTTCCCTTTAAATCAAGAATAAGTAGAATAGACCAATAACGAGGGAAGAATTTTTAGAGTTTCAGAAAAAATTTCCATCTCTTCAAATGGCATCATTTTAGAAGTGAGTTTTTTTAAACTTTCAAAGAACAAAAATTATCCAATCCTAAAGGACATATTTTAAGAAATGAAGAAGAAAGGTATTATTCATTTTGAGAAAGGAGCCAAATTCTGAAACCAAAATCTGACTATGAAACTAGTGAACAATCTTACTATGAATATAGATGAAAAATCTTAAAGAAAGACAAAGAGAATTCAGTATAGTTTAATAATGTTCAACTGAAAATATATAATGGTCAAAAGGCATTTATCCTTCAAAATTAGCCTGCTAACATGAGATTCTTAGAAGTAGATCACAGGTAAAAATTTAAACAGGAATAAAACGATATTCCTTTGAAATAATTAACACAAGGCTTGAACTTACAACTATCATATTTTTTGGTAAAAGTCAAAGGCATTTTCATTAAATTCAAGAAGTGAAGATTCCCATTACCACTAACGTGCTTATTAAGTTAAAGTCAATGCAATGATCAGAAGAGTTGAGAGATTAGAGTCGAACAAAAATGGTAATACAGGACACTCCAGAACTCCATCCTTCCACAAAAATCAATGGATAAGCTGGCAGAAACTGTCAAAAATGTTTCTTGGAACTCTGGGATCGAATTCAAAACTTAAAACAACCAGAGGAATGCATAATAAAGGGGAAAAAACTGCTGAATTTTTGTAAAAGAGCTCTGTGATCTTCTAACTTACCCTGTTTCCCTCCCCCATCTCCCAGCTCAGGGGTGGCCCTGAGGACAACCACCTGCATTCCTGGTGCAGGCTCCCAGTACAAGAGGGAGCAACACAAATCTTGTTCCCAAACGTTTGTGGCAGTGTGTTTCGACCCCTCTGGTGGTTCGCTGAAGGATTGGCTCAAAGATTTCCCTTTGTTTTGTCTGCCTTGGAGCTTTCCCAGGGCTGGTGTGGCTTCCTGGAAGCTATTTATCAAAAACATTTAAAAGTAAATGTAATAACTGCCGCCATCTGGAACAAGGGATACCCGTCGAGGCAGGCAGTAGGCAGGCCAAGCAGCCTGGGAAGGAGGAGGCTGGAGAAGGAGATGCGTAGGGAAGTGAGGGCTGTAGAAAGTTTCCACCTATTGCAAGGACTCTAGAAGGCCGCGTGCAGGCCCAAGCTGGAAGCATGCACAGAAAAATAATGAAGAAAATAAAAATTCAAACCCAGGGAGTTCATGCAACATGCCCACCAGTTTGGCTACAAGTTGAAAGTCATAATAAAACCTAGTGCTGGTGTGGAACTCACATACACTGCTGACAGTACAACCGCTTTGGAAAATTCGTCAGGCCTATTAGCTGAACACTTGCATAACCTATGAATCAGAGAGTCCACTCCTCTTTGTACATCTAACAAAAATGCATATATAATAACCTTCCGTTATCTGTGGGGGTTACATTCCAAGACCCTCTGTGGATGGTTAAAACCCTGTGTTTTTTCCTATATGTACATGCCTATATTAACTTTAATTTATAAGTTAGGCACAGTAAGAGATTAACAATAACAATTAATAATGAAATAGAATAATTATAATAGTATACTAGAATAAAAGTTATGTGAATGGTCTCTCAAAATATCTTTTTTTTTTTTATCCTTACCCTAGGACACTTTCTCATTTTTTGTTCACATTGAGTGGGAGGGAGAGAAAGGAAGAGAGAGAGAGAGGAACATCAACGTGAAAGGCACACATCGAGTGGCTGACACCCACATGACCCAACCAGGGCCGGGGACAAACTGCAACCGAGATACATGCCCTTAGAGGAAACCAAAGCCAGGTCTCTCTGGACCGCAGGCTGACGCTCTAATCACTGAGCCAAACCGGCCAGGGCTCAAAATATCTTATTATACTATATTCACCTTTTCATTTAGAGAAATCACTTTCTGGCTTCTCTTCAGCATATCTGAATTGTCAGCATCACTACTCTTGTACTTTGGGGACGTTATTAAGTAAACTAAGGGCTATTTGAACACAAGCACCTCAACAGTCAGACTGATAACCCAGAGGGTTACTATGTAACTTACAGGTAGGTTAGCATATACAGTGTAGATACATTGGACAAAGGGGTGATTCACATCCCAGGCAGAATGGAGCAGGACCGCACAAGATATCACCACACTACTCAGAACAGTATGCAGTTTAAAATTTATGAATTATTGCCTGGCTTGTGTGGCTCAGTGGTTGAGCATTGGCCCATGGACCAAGAGGTCACTGGTTCGATACCTGGTGAGGGCACATGCCCAGGTTGTGGGCCAGATCCCCAGTGGGGGGCATGCAGGAGGCAGCCAATTGATGTTCGCTCTCGTGGATGTTTCTATCTCTCTCCCCCTCTCCCTTCCTCTGTCTCTAAAAAGTAATAAAGAAAAAGAACTTATGAATTGTTTATTTCTGGGCATGTCCATTTAAAATTTTCAGACCCTGGTTGACCACAGGTAACTGAAACCAAAGAAAGCAAAACTGTGGATAAGGGGGAACTATTACATAAGTGTACCAAGAGACATGTACAAGAATATTGAAGGAAATAATATTCATAATCATAAAAAACTAGAAACACTCAAATGTTCATTAACAGTAGACTGGATAAGTTAATTGTAATTAATATATTTATGCAACTGAATACTATAAAAAATTAAAAGGAGCATGAACTATTCAGAGGAAGAAGCAATATGTAAAAGAATATATTCTACTTACATAAAGTTCAAAAAATCAGGCAATTCTAAACTAAGAATGTTTGGGGACACATACTGATGTGATGAAACTATAACGAACTACAAGGAGGTGATTAAAATGAAAGTCAGGACAGTGGTAACCTTCTGGGGGAAGCAAAGGCACAGGAGAATTTCAAGGGTGCCTACAATGCTTCTTGACCTGGTGATAGTTACACAGGTAGTTATACTGTGATAAGTCATTAAGCTGTACATTTGCATGTTGTACACTTTTCTGGAAGTGTGTTTTATTTTACTATAAAAATTTTAATATTAAGTAAAAATTGTGAGTGAAAAGATGAGCAGGTATGACTATATAAACATTTTTAAAACCTCTTTATAACAAAACTTGTATTAAAAGAAAAGTAACAAAATGAGACCTGTGTTATACGCAACAAGGTTGGAAGAACATAGTTTAATATTCAAGTTACAGTAAGATATTACAGAAATCTTAATGAACAAACAGTTCTCTGCACTCAGTGAATACAAAGTATATAAAAATATATTCAAAGAATAGAAACATAGGCCAATATGTTAAAAAATGAATAATGTAACTAGCATTTAGAAAACGCTAATGAACTCTAAATTGTCATTTATGCTTATTAAATTAAGCACTCCAGTTAGGGTATAAGTAAAGATTTTCATTCACTGGGAGCGTTGAAAATAGATATGCTATTTTTAAGGGGCTATCTGGTGTGTTTCAAGCAATTTTCTTACCTGAGAATGTATTCCAAAAAATATTATACTTTCAAAAATCACCTATAAAAATAATCCTTACCTTGCTTGAGAACTTTGGGGATCTACATTTAACAAGGCTGTAAAATCCTGTATGGCAGCATTCCAGTTTTCGTTTTCATAGTAAAACATTCCACGCTTAAGTAATGCATCTATTCTTTTGGGATCATACAAAATGCACTACGTGGGGAGGGGTGTCGGGTTGGAGAGGAGACACAAAAACATGTCATGTAATGAAAAAACCATAACCCCAGAACAAATTAAATGGACGACAACCACATTTTTAACTTCAGATTATATAAAAGCAATCTACTTTAGATGCAGAAATGTTAATATTTGCATTTAAAAACCATGTCTTTAGGAAATCCACTTATCATCACATTCTAGAAAAAGGAGGTTTTCTGAGAACTAAATAAAACAGCATATACAAGCAACTAAGGCTTTCGCCCACTGAAATTTTTACTGATAAAATTTCATAAGTGAATTGTTCAACTAGATTAGTGTTATATTGGATTTATCTACTTCATCTCAAGCATAGCCTCAACATTTTATACCAATTAAAGATACATATATTAGACCACATCAAGGCTTATTCAATCAAGTAAAATATGGATTAATCTAGTCCCTAAAATGGTAAAAACAAATGAATTGGCATTGGTATGACTCATTCCTTTCACATTGACAAACAGGCAGTGGAATAAACAGACTAAATCATTGTATACTCAGTCATAAAGCTCCCCACCTATTCATATTGGGGGAAAAATGGAAACACAAAGATTACCAAGTATTTTTAAAACAGGGAAATAAAACCCTAAAGATCTTTTTTTTGTTGTTGTTTATTTTTTTTAATTGATTTTGGAGAGAGAGAAAAGGAGAGGAAGAGAGAGATAGAAACTCCAATGAGAGAGAACATCGACTGGCTGCCTCCTGCATGCCCCCCACTGGGGATCTGGCCCACAACCTGGGCATGTGCCCTGACCGGGAATCGAACTGGCGACCTTTGTTGCATGGATCGACGCCCAACCACTGAGCCACACTGTCCAGGCAAAACCTAACAATTTTAAAGTTTGTTTGGCCTCAAATTACTTCATTAATCAGTTTTTTTTGAACTATTGGTGCCCGATGGAGGAAATGAACAAAATAGATAATCTAATGATTTCAATATCTTTAAAAGAAAATATTGAAAAGCTTTTATTCAAGACCAGAGGTTACCAAAACTTACAATATCCTCTTGAAGCAAAAATGATGTTAAGTATATGGCTAATCATCAAGGATAAAGAAACAAGGCAGTTGGGAAAATGAAAAGGTAAATTATTTATATAACTTCTAAATTTGCAATTGTACTAAGAATGAAGAATTTAGAGTTGAAAGTCAGGAGACCAATCTCCTGAATCAGAGGAATATTTTGCCTGACTATAGTGCCTCCGTGTACAATTCAACCAAAAGTTCATTTCCTCAAGGAAATTCCCTGATATCCCCCCACCAAATAGAACTTACTCCCCCATCTTTTTATTTCCTTTATAGGAGTCATCATAATTTACAATTATATATTTATGTATGTATTTATTTCTTTAACGTTCTGTCCTTTAAACTGTACGCTCCATATAAGCCAGAAGCATGTCTGTTTTATTCATGAAGATTTATTCACTACATCGTAGAATGCCTTAGTCAACAACATTTGTTTGTGAATGAATGAATGAACGAGCCAGTGAGCACAGCTTCTTTTGGAGCAGATGGGTTTGATGCAGAAGAGACTCAGCTTTGTCTCAAAGTTAAGTGAAAAATGATTTTTTTATTGCTTGAAGGAAAAAAAGATTTTCTTAACCATTGTTTTATGGTTGAAGAGGAGAGAGCTGGAAAAGTCAAGAGCCCCTCAGAGTTGTCTTAAATGCTTCAATAGACAACTCTTTAAATCCACTCATTCATTAATAATAATAGCTTTAAATTTTTGACATAGTGGTAATATCAATTCCAGGAATGCATGCACTAGGTCCTAACCTATAATAACTTAGTTTTGATTAAACAACATATAAGAAAGAACTTGAACAATTTGCTATAATAGTAGGACGAGGATATCATAAACTAAAATATGTGACTAACGGCAGTATTATATGTGATACAACTTACTGTAGAAAAGTCATCGATGGCCAGTAGTTTGTTTGTTATCTCATACATCTCACCCCTCCTGAAATATATATCAGCATCCGTGGGCTTGCACTTAATTGCCTGGGTATAGTTTAGAATTGCCAGAGTAATATCTTTTTTCCCCCTGTAAATTTCTGCCTTTGACAAATATGCCTCTAGAGAAAATATAAAATGTACAAATTAGAGTTACAGTCCTTTTATTAACAATGAAAATGTTTAAAGATTAATCCCTCTTTCTCCAAAATGGTAGTCTTAGAATAATGTTTCTCTATTATACTTCCTTAATGATTTAATGCAAGGGTTTTTATTTTCTCAACAATGCAGAATTTATTGGATAAATATTCATTTATGATTACAAGCATTTTCCATTTCAATGTGAAGTAACAAAAATTAACTATTACCTTTTTTTTCAATCCTGAAATGTTTCATTGTCTTTTAGTGTTTGTAATAAAAAGTTAGATTTTGATGGCACAAAATTTTATGCAGTTTTAGCAAAGATCAACAGAGATAAAAACAAAACAAAACATTTATTAAGCTCATGATACATTCTAGGGGTATATTGTGGATGCTGGTGATACAAAGGTGAGTAAGACATTTTCTCACTCCCAGAAAGTTTCAGGTGTAGTCGTTCAAGTTGGTTCGAGTGTGTTACACAAGGTCAAACGTGGAGATTTCATCCAACCAAGAAGTCTTAGGAAAACTACAACTGTAATTCACAGATTTGTGGTCAAGGAAATACTTGTGAATCACTTCTGCAGCCAAAATTTTTAAGTACATATTCTTCTTGTGAAATAAACAGTAAGCAACCAAGTTATCGTAATGTATACAAAGGATACTAACACTTCACGTAGTAAATTTAACTTAGGGGTGTCACCTGTTTGGAGACTTAGGTCTATGGATTTACATATCTTTATAATACTATTAAGTGACCAAAGATTAGGTAAAGATATAATTAATATAACTGTCTGCACATATAACCCACCTGCATTATTTTTATTATATTTATTTATATAATTCAAGTCATCCAAAGCTTCATGAACTTTGTCTTGGAAAAGATAAATAAGATGCCGGTGCCAGTAGGCATTGAGAAACAATGGTTCCAAGAGTATAGCCTAGAAGATATATGTCAAAACTCAATTAAAGTTGATTTATTAAAAAGGAAGCTATCCTGTCAAATTTTAAACACTATTGATCCCAATGGCTTTGTATGTGTATGATATAAAATAGTATTTCTCAATCGGACAAACAAAATCTAGTGCTTTTATTTTATTTTTTGGTATATTTTATTTAAATTATTTTTGTTACAGATATTTCTCCTTTCCCCCCCATTAAAACCCTTCTCCCGATCCTTCCCCCACCCCTGTGACAACATTGTTTATGTCCATTGGTTATGCTTATATGCATATAAATTCTTTGGTTTATCTCTTCCCTCCCCCCACCTCTAAAGTGCTTTTAATATTTATTATTTGAAAATGTCAATAAATATAATTTTACAGTCCCAAAGGTACACTACAAATACATTGTTCAAAATTTTAGTAAAAACGAATGGATAATGATATGCAAGTGTAAATTGTTAACATTGTCATTTTGATTAAATAAAACTTACTTCCTGTAGGTCATTCATAGCACTCTGTAACTTCCCCAGTTTCCTGTATAGAGCTCCACGCCTACAGTATGAAAATGCAGGATATATTTTGTTGTTATTTATTTCTTCAGTCAAGATCTTCACTTCGGATTTATAATGTTCAATGACCTCTGGAGAAAGACCAGACTTCAAAGAATCACTCAATTCTAGTTTTGGTGGTTCTTTCACTTCTTCAGGCAAGTCTTTATGAACCAATATTTTAACAACTTTCCCTCTTGAAGTTTCCTTCTGAGGTATATACTTAGAGAACACATCAAGAACCCATGTTCGATAGTCATAATTTTCTGGGATTCCTCCCTTACTTTGGGCAAATTTATCAAAATTTAAACATGAAGGTAGGCTGGGACACCGAAATTGACGTTCATATAGTGGAATTTTGAGCAAGTATTTCTTCTGTCCAGGAAGGATTCCATGAGACGTTGGCCTAGTTTGTAAAAGAGTGTCTTTTAATACAATTATTTTTATAATCAATGAATCAACTCAGCCACAAACAAAATTACTATTTCTCTGTTGTGCATCATTGTTACCCAGAGACTTGCTAAACATAGATTTCTAGTTTATTTGCTGGGGTTTGGTGGTCAATTACCAAACTAAACCACAGGAACAGAATGGCAGTCATTAGATTTTAACTCACAAGGATCTGTGGCAATAGCTAAATGACCACAGATCCTTAGAAATACAATGGCTGGACAGCCTGCTAAGGTATTCTTTGACTTACGCAGATGAAAACCTTCTAGGTCTTCACAACCTCTTACCCAGCTCTCAGATCTAAGCCAGTTCACAATCTAAGACCTTTCACTTAACAGGAAGGTCAGGCCAGGTCTCACTGAAGGAGGATCTTGCTTTGTGGCCTAGGTGTATTTAATGAATTATCCCCCAAAAGCTTCCAAAGATCTGGGAAAGAGTAAATACCAAAACTTCTGGGGCTTATTAGATACTAGCTCTAAACTTATGCTGACCCACAGATATCCACTGTGGATGCCACTGAAGTGCATCAATCAAATCAGGGAATTATGAAGGTCAAGGGGTAGTAAGAACCTTGGCCTGAAATCACCTAATAATGGATCTGGTTAGATATGGACCCATCTGTGATCATTTTCCTAGTCCTAGGATATGTAGTGTCAATGAATCAACTTAATAACTATATAAGCTGTATACTGAAGGAAATAATGGTGGAAATGGTCAAGTGGAAATCTCTGTTCTCACTCTATTCCATCCTATACCATCATCCACCAAGATAGTATGCGAAAAGCAACACCCGACCATCAGGAAAATTACAGATGAGTGGCACTAAGGGAAATATGTCGTCTCCTACTCCTAGAAAATAAATCTGCCCCTCTCAGGGGTGTAGTGGAGCAAGACAGGCCAGGAAAACCAGGATTGAAATCACAGATTTGCTTTCAGAATCAGGTCAAGTTTGGACGTGCTAATAATGAAAGCAGAACTAACCATTTAAGCGAGCCACCAAGAATGTGTGTGATTAAACAAGTTTACAGGTCTGATATAAAATGGTAAGGATAGTTCTGTGTTAACAAAGTTAAAATTAGTGAAAGAAAGATCTCAACCTATAACAATAAAATGATTTTTAAAGTTGTTCCATAAACTTGTTTTAAAGTAACAATTATTTCATAGCTACACTTTTGTGGTAATTTAGTGCAAGATGTTTTTTTAAAGAAAGTAGTAGAACTGTACTAATGGATTATTTTAGATCAATACTCCCACAGTTTGTTTTACTGTCTCCACCTCTGCCTGTTTGCAATCTATACAAATTTTTTAATTCAGATGTGAAAAAGCAAATAAATCTCCCTAAATAGTTGAACTTTATAATCAAAATGATAAAGGGCCAGGAAACAGTAAAACATCCCACAGAAGCAGTGTTAAATCTGCTTATATCTTTTTTTTAAATAAATTTTATTTGTAAATGTTTAAACTCTTGAATATTTTGACTATATTTTCAATATATTTGACTTCTTTTTATAAATTTTTTTTCTTTACTGATTTTAGAGAGAGAGGAAGGGAGAGGGAGAGATAGAAACATCAATGAGAGAGAACATTGATTGGCTGCCTCTTGCATGCTCCCCACTGGGGATTTGGCCCACATCCTGGGCATGTGCCCTGACTGGGAATCAAACCAGCAGCCTCTAAGTGCATGGGTTGAGGCTCAACCACTGAACCACACCAGCCAGTCTCATTTATATAGGTAGAAGTCACTTTGGTCATGACCAAAAGGTGCTGTGTAGTATCCTTTCTAGGATGGTGAAGATTCAATACTTTGAAAAGAGCAAATGTATTAAAAAGGTATAAGCAATCTTCTGATTCTGATCTAAAATATTTATCAGCTTAGAAAAACTTACCTAAAGTCTCCTAAAGATTACCTAACAAAAAGGCTTCCCGATATATTTGTTGCAGGGGTAACTTAAGCATAAGTAGTGTGCAGAGAACTTGGTACTTGATGGCACTCTCCACCAGGGTTGGTCTCTACTCTGTCACTTACACCTACATTGGGTTATTTCCCAGTTTCCAGTCTTCTAAAGGACAGTAAATCGTCGCACTAACATATAATTAACCCTTTTCAGAACCAGTAATTCTTTATAACAATAAAGTGAACAAAACATTGGTGACTCTCTTATTTCCAGGAAAGTCTTCACTTTTCAAAAAGGCATAAGTTTTTTTGTTTGTTCGCTTTTATTCTCACTCAGGACTTTTTTGCATTTATCTTCAGATAGAGCAGGAAGGAGAGAGGGAGGAAGAGAGAGAAACATCGACATGAGAGAGACACATCAAATGGCTGCCACCCACATGCCAGGGACAAACTGCAACCAAGGCACATGCCCTTAGTGGGAACCGAACCTAGGACTCTCCGGTCCGCGGGCTGATGCTCTAACCACTGAGCAAAACTGGCTAGGGCAAAAGGGCATAAGTTTAATGAATCTTTGTTGTTAATTGGGGATACTGAAAGACAACAAAGCCCAGGGCATTTTGGAAACTGTTTTGACAACAGCTGGGTCATAAGAAAGCTATGCCCTAAACACTTAAGTATTAACATACCTGAACTTTCAGTTGTTATGTTAGATTCCTCCATATTTTTAAAGAAGATGCTATTACCTCCAAGTAAGAGCAAAAATTATTTATTTGTGTTGATCTCTGAATTGGGGTTCATAACACACAAAAATAGGTTGTCTATCAGGACTTATTACTCAATTCAATAGTTTAAATGTAAATTTTTTTTAAGTTAAACAGCAATCTATTTTGACTTTCAAATCGGTGGTATTTGTTTGGAGTTGGGGTTGGGGTTGGGTTTTGGTCTTAAATTACTTCAGAAAAATAACTTAGTAGATTTTATTTCTTTCCACTAAAATATTTTATTTAGCCATCAAATTGGCTTAGTCTTACTTCATGTCCTTATATCAATGAGTGAAATGATATGAGTGAAATGATAAAGTTAAGGCCAAGTTACAATACACTTCTTAAGCTATAACAATTATTAGTTAAACAAGACCTTGTTAGCATTTTTGGAGGCTTGGATAACTCGTCCAACACAATTGTAAGCTTAGGGAATTTCAGTCCTTTCTTCCAATTCGCCTTCTTTTTCTTGGGGTAAACAATGTAACTAATGCCGGCTTTTCTAGATGCTTCAATGAGAGAAAGAGACAGGTTTTTTAAACTATGAGTGTCCTCCATGGTATCTAAGATGGTATCTATACTTTCTCTCACAGGGATGGTGTCCTCAGTTTCATTTTGCTCATTCCTCTGACGCCGCTCCAAACGCTCCAACTCCTTTGCTTTCTGAAACATCATCTCTTTTATGTCACTTTGCACGTCCTCCTTAATTTCTAACGGAGCTATGGATCCCTTCTTCTTCCTCAATTCAACTGCAGATTTTACTCTCTTATTAACGAGGAAACAAAGAGGCAGAAAAAAATAAAACCAATTTAGTTGCTATACATTAAAATTAATTCAGTTTCAATTACTGTTAATGTAGTTTGGCCACAATTGAAAAGATTTTAAATCATGTATTCTTGATGTTTTTCAAAATCAGTTTATAAAATTTATAATGGGGATGTAAAGTGTCACATTATAGTATAAAATTCTATCTTGTGTATTTGAAAGTTGCTAAGAGAATCGATCTTAAAAGTTCTCATCACAAGAAAATAACATGTAAGTCTGTTGTGATGGATGTTAACTAAACTTATTATGGTGATTATTTCACAATACATACAAATATCAACTAATTATGACTAATTATGTTTTAATTATGTTGTATATATGAGACTAATATAATGTTATATGTCAATAAAATAAATCTTAAGAACAGTGTCAGAGTCCAGGGATACAAGAGGAGTCAAAGAGTCAACAAGAAAGAGAATATCAGAAATAACATAAGAAGAAGGATAGAATTAGGCAGGTGAAAAGTAAGTTAGAAGCAACCTATGTGAAGAATCAAGGAAGTTTGCTGTCAGATTTGGGGGCGGGGAGACACCTGGGAGCTAGGGGTCAATTCCACTGAAGGTAAGAATGAACTGTTCAAAAATGCCCAGGAATTCTTGGTAAAGTGGAAAGTACATTTCATTTGGTAAGAAGCGGTGTGGGTATAAGTACCAGCTCCATCATTTATCACTTTCTGACCTTTGTTTTTTCATGTATAACACAAGGATAATATCTTTCTCCCTTTCCTTCTGATTGGGATATTATGAAACTCAAGATCAAACTGAAATAGTGTTCATAAAAATGTTTTACAACTGTGAGCCTGATGCAAATGTAGGTCATATTGTAAGTGACTTGCTTTATAATATACCAGGTAAAGTCCAACTATGACTATGAGACACTTCCAAGTGCTGTTTAAAATCTTTACTTGGAACTACCAACCACAATCATTCATGGGCTAGCAAATACACACTGAAATCTAAATGTTCAGTCAGCTCTAGATGAATCAACTGACTACGTATTTCAGGAAAACAAACAAAAAGGCATAGGTGGTGATTATTACTATAAGATAAATATTTCTTTTGAATAATAAAAACTGAAAAATTATCATACCTTTAATTGTGGAGCTTGTGTGCTGTGACTTTTTTGGATCCTTTCAAATGATGAAGATTTTGTTAGGGGAAAAGCCTGAAACAGTAAAACAGTAATTAAGCCCTGGCCATGTAGCTCAGTTGGTCAGAGTGTCATCCCAATATGCCAAGGTTGTGGGTTCAATCCCCAGTCAGGACACATATAAGAATCAACCAGTGAATGCACAAATAAGTAGAACAACAAATAGATGTTTCTCTCTTTCCCCCCTTCCTCTCTCTCTAAAAGCAATCAATAAATTTTAAAAATTACAGTGGTAACTATACATTGGCCATAGATACTATGTGGTAAACCAAAATATCATATGACAGCTGACTATTAGTAACTGTTTAGGTAAATTGAAAAAATGCAGAAAGACTAAATTACAGGTGCTTACTAATATTGAAGTAATTGAATTCACAGAGAAGAGCAGAAATTAAAAGCCATCAAGTAATTTTTAAATTATTAAAAAAATTAACCTAGTTAGTACCTGCTATGTGCAAAGTGCTATGCTGCAAAGCTTTCCGGTTGGCATAAGAGGCACAGGTGTGTGCGAATGGCCATAGATATGCTGAGCCATTAATCCCTTTAGCCCTGGTGTGATCGTGGAACCTGGAGCACTACTGTCCCCTGAGCAGTCACCTCTAATCATGAGTAACCTCAGCCTTTTACTCCACAGGACCACACAAATGTGATCACTTACTATGAGAGCTATTTTGTTAAAAGATTTGGGCCCTGGTCGGTTTGGCTCAGTGGTTAGAGTGTCGGCCCTTGGTCCAGAGAGACCTGGGTTTGGTTCCTGCGAAGGCCACATACCTCGGTTGCAGTTTGTCCCCGGCCCTAGTTGGGGTCATGTGGGTGGCAGCCAGTCCATGTGTCTCTCTCACGTCGATATTTCTCTCTCTGTCTCTCTCTCTCTCTCGATCCCTCTCTCCCTCCTGCTCTACCTGAAGATGAATGCAAAAAATGTCCTCGGGTGAGGAAATAACAGAAAAAAAAAAGACTTAGTAGTACATCACTATGTTTCATGTTCTCAACCAGTATAATAGTGGAAACAGACATAAAGAAATAACTATAACCCAAAGTGGCTGTGGCAATGACTGTAAAGATGGCATAAATCAGGTGTGAAGGAATGCAGGAGAGGGAGAGGTCAATTCTGAATGGGAAATAATCTGAACAGATTTGCTTAAAGAGGTAGTACCAGGGTTGACCTGTGAAAGGCAGTGACATTTCTAAGGTCTGAGAAGGGGTTGAGAACATCCCAGGCCAATCATATAGCCGGAATAAGGACCTAGAAGTGTCAAAGTGCTGGGATTTTGGTCCCCAGGGATTCTGGTACAGGTAGAGTCCAGGGTACATAGAGGCTTCATGGAGGCAAAAGTATATAGGAAGTAGGACAGAAAATGTAGTTGAGGCCAGGTTATGAGACTTAGTTAAGCACTCTGACTTTGTTTGGTAGATGGAAGTTGTTTGGTTCGTTGAGACATGAGTAACATAATCATACCTGTGTTTTAAGAATATAGCAGAGGGGCAGGAAGGAGGATGGATTGGAAGAAGCAACTACTAAAAATGGACATTATCTGTCAGGGAGGTGTAGGTAATGCTACTAGTGTAGTCTAGAAAGTGAAAATGGCATTTCAAAGTAGGAAGTTTCATTCGTTAGTTCAGTTATTTTGTATGTGATGGTTGCTGCTCTAGGTTTTATGGATAAAACAGTGAACAGGAATGGTATGACCCCAGGCTGCTGAGTAATACAAAGATCAAACAAACAAAAGGATAAATATTTAGTAAGTGTTATAAGGAAAAATCGCAAGAAAGTGATCTATATTAAATAGAAACATTATCCCCTCCAAAACAACAACAAAATGCCAAAAAGTATTACCTGACTGTGTGGGAAGAGACATGGATACATATTGAACTAGTTAACTGACTGGAATAGGGATATGATTTGTCCCTGGGAACCAAGACTCTCTATTGTGTATCATTCGGTTTCCCACAATATCATCAAAAGGGAGTAGAGGGCCGAAGGCACTAATGAAAGAAAAATAACTGTGTTTTGCTTGTCCTCATAACATTCAGGACACTTATTAGACCAATTATATAAATTGTCTACCTTTCTTCTTCTCTCAATCACTGTCTCTTTTCTCTCCAATTGTGTTTACTATTTAATTTGCTTACTTGGATACACTGTAGGGATAAAGATGAGCACGAGTCTAACCACATTTAGAGAATTCAGTTTTACTGTTTCATGGCCATGAATAATTCTCACCATAAAAAGATTTATAAACATGTTCCTTTGATTATGTAAGACCTAGGTGAGAGGTGATAATGAGTACAAAACAAGAAATTTTAGGAAAACTCACAGCAGATATCCTGCCATTGATTAGCAAATAACACCTTCTGGGTGTCATAAAGACAACATGTTTGAAAAAGACAACAGTGTCCTTGGCAAAGACAACAGTGAATGTTCTGAAGCATTTCCTTGACTGGGGAAGCACCAAGAAATAATTTCAGGATTTCTAGCGATAATATCTGAGTTGTAGGCAGATAAAGTAACTTACCTACAATTCAAAACAAAAAGTAAACATACCCTCTTGGCAAGAGTGACTCAGTTGGTTGGAGAATCATCTCTGCACTGAAAGGTTGCCCTGTGATTCCTTGTCAGGGCACATACCTGGGTTTCAGGTTCAATATCCAGTCAGGGCACGTGCAGAAGGCAGCTGATTGATGTTTCTCTCTCACCTCCCTCTCTCTCTCTCTCTCTCTCTCTCTCTCTCTCTCTCTCTCTCTCTCCCTCCCTCCCTCCCTCCCTCCCTTCCTTCCTTTCTCTAAGCATGTACTCAGGTGAGGATTAAAAAAATTATACATACCCTAGGACTTTGCTGATTTAAAGCACTGACACTTTCCTCAAATGAAAATTTCTCATGTATAATTCTGCTTGCTTGAATACTCTGTAGTAAAAAGATAATACTTTTAAATTATATAGTGAAATACTTTTAAAAGCCTATGCTCACTGTTACTTTACCAAAAGAAAAAATGTACGGGAAGGGTAGAATTATAGAAAACATTCACCAGAGATGCATCAAAGTCCAGCTACAGCCTTAGTATGTTGCCAAAACTCTCAATTTGGCTTCAGCATTGGCAGTTAGTCAAGTGGATACATCTACATTAGTTCTGTCGATCCTAATCTTAGGAGCAATCAGTGATCCTAGGATCTCTCAGGTTAGCACTGAATCTATGCAACATGTCAATATCAGGATTATGAACAAAGCATATCATTTGGATTGATTGTCAATGCTACTATTTATTGTTAAATGCAAATATGCATTCTAAATGGTAAATAAAATGAAAATCTTATAATTCAAACTCTATCAGTGAATTGTTATATATGCATGTTTATTGTTCTATGGGTAAACTGCTGCAATGATTATAATTATTATTGAATGTGTTACTTCTTTATCCTGTGCTTAGTGATTTAGAGATGTAGAAATAGCTATATTTAAGTTTGAGAGCCTGGTGGATTCATGATGAGTTAAATTATGCTGCTGCCTAGTTTGCTGAAAGGTTTTAGGTCTCAAACAACTTTAAAATTTCAAATTAAAAAAAAAAAAATTATTCCATAGAAAATTAGCTTTAAAAAGCATCATGTAATTATCACTGAGAATAGAACACTAATGGAGAAGGCTATGGGTAATTTCGGAATCACCAGTATTTGTTTATTTATTTATTTTTATTTCATCATTATTCTTCAATGACAAACTATGTTATACACAAGAAAATTTGGATCTATTTTGCCACATGCTTACAAAATGTTTAAATATGATGGAATAGCAGCAATTACATCCATGGTGAGGCAAAAGTGGGTTTACAGTTGTATGTATAGAGAAAAACACAATAATTAATAAGAATATAAGAATAAACTCCGTGTTTCACATACTCGCAACTGCAAACCTACGTTTGCCCAGCCTGTATTTTAAAAAATGCTTTTAACAATAACAAAGACAAAAACCTTAATACAGCAGGTCCTTGAGTAATGTTTTATAGCCTTGATGCGATGCCATAGGAATTTAACTTTGTTTATATCAATTAGCCTATGGTAAAATCGGTTTTGTTATATGTTGTTTTGCTTAAAGTCATGATACAAATGGTAAGTGAAGGCTTACTGTAGTGTATTTTACAGATATTAAAACAGCAGAACTAACTAATAATCAACGACTGCAGAGAACATGGTGCATATGTTGGAATCTGCCAAGATACTGCCCAAACTAATTTGCTAGTAGGGCAATTATACTATTGCTTACATGATATCTGATACAAAAAATTTTCCAGGGATATTGCTGAAATTGTTGAACATGCAATAAAAGTTAGGATGCTGATGAAAATGAAAAGAGTTTTGCTACGTTAGAAGTCAATTGTGAATTCTGCTTCTAATTATGGCAGGCTAGGTAATTCTGCTGAGGACAACTAAGAAAGCTATATGTAATATGAAAAAAACATAATCTTCAGAGCATCAAAGAGCTACCAGGATGATAAAGAAGTACTAGGCCAAAAATCTAAGAAAAGGAAAGAATCTGGAAAGGTAAGTCTAGTATTCAAAGATGCTTTTACTCAGGATGTTTGCTAAAACAGCTGCAAATCTGAGATGCAGATATGCAGCTCTTTGGGGCAAGGGTGACAGAAATTGAGGACCAGAATCTACCTGATCTACTTGAGGTGTGATACCTGATTTTATTTATATATATACATATATGTAATATGTAATATATATAATATATAATATATATAACATGTAATATATATTATATATATGCAAATATTCAATATATACAAATACTCAAGGCTACAAAGATATTACAGGGCTACACCCTCAGATTAAGAGTAAATGAAAGATAAATAACCTTTGTGTAGACTTTCAGCTGGACCGCTATCATGGGGGCTGTCAGAGAACATCAAGCCTTAACCTTATAGGAAGGCTGTCTCTGAGGGGTAAAGATCCCAGATTCTAACAAAAATTTTTTCCTGGAGAAAGGTCTCAAATACTTCTTAAAACCAGTGTCTTAAATACAATGATAAAAATTTAAAGACAGATACACAAAGGAACAAAACACCACAAAATAAAAGACTTGGAGAAAAAGTTATAAATTCTAAAAAGAAAAATATGAAACTAAAATTTAAAATTTAAACAGTAAACAGATTTAACAGTATATTAGACACAACTGAAGAAAAATATCTATGAACCTGAACTGTATGACAGATCAAAAGAAATTGCCAGTATCGGGAGAAAAAAATGTAACTGATAATGTATTAAAGTTCCAGAAAATTAGAAAAAGAATGGACAGGGGAAAAATTTGAAGAGATAATGACTAAAATTTTTCCGTAGCTGATGAAAGATATCGAACCACAGATTCAAAATCCCATTGATTCTAAAGCATGATAGATACAAAGAAATCTGCAACTAGACACATCTTAGGGAAACTGTATGAAGAAAAGAGAAAAACTTATAAGTAACCAGTTTGGGGGAAAGCAAAGAATTTATTATCTTCAAAGGATTCATAAGTAAGAATCACTTCTAACAACAATAGTAGATACCAGAAAATAGTGGAACATCATTTGTGTACTAAAAGAAAATATTTGCAAAATATATTTTGACCAGGTAGAGTATTCCCTAAAAAGAAGGTAATATAGAAAGAAGATCCCGAGAGTGTGGCCCCAGTGAATTGGGTACCCCAACTCCCGTGAGCCACGGTGGGAAGAGGCATTCCGAGAAAAGAGACCAGAAAAATGGCGGCAGAGTGAACGGAAGCTACACAGACTGTCTCCCAGAACCAAACTGGAATTACAACTATAACACAGACAAATCGACGGGAAAAAGCAACAGAAAAGCAGCTGGCGAGGACCATATAATGAGGGACACTGACTCGATCCTAGTAGGCTTGCAAAGGCGCGAGACGGGGGGCTGGGAGCCCAAGGTCGGCAGCTCAGCAGTGGCCTCAGCTGGGAGCAGCACCCTCAGGTCACACTCCCAGGCGGCTCCACAGCACAGAGCCGGACAGAGGCTGAAACAGCCACAGCCACTCACCTTGGGCTCCGGCAGAGGGAGGGCAGACTGGACTGGAACTGTGTCGGGACGCTTGGGATTTGGAGGGCGCTCAGAGCTTTTCCTGAGTGCAACCACGCAGGACGGTGGCCATATTGCTCCTTCCCAGGGCTCTGAGAGGCAGCAGCCCCTCCCTCGGAGATCCAACCCCACCCTGTGGGCCATTGAAGTGCTAATTGAGGCTCATTAACAACCAGCATCTGCCCCACCCTCCTGAAATCCTCTTGTGCTGAGCACCTGAGGGAGTTTTTCAATCAACTGACAACCCAAAACTCATCAAGTAACCTCAACTGCTAGCCTCCAGGCAGAAAGCTAGAGGATAACAGTACCTTTCCTGGGCTAGCAACTTTAACCAGGAAAGTAAGACTTGACAGTGGTGTTTAACGTGGGTCCTCCCTCGCTCATCTAAACACAGAAGAGGGAGCCACAAACAGCAGAACACCAACACCCAAGGGAAAACTTGACAGGCTCCAAAGCCCCCAGTGATAGCCAAAATGGTGAAACACAGAAACAGAAGACAAATGAAAGAGCAAGAGATCTCCACCAAATATGAGATCAATGTGGAGCAATTAGGCATGTTAACAGAGCTAGAATTCAGAGCCACGATCTTGAGGAAGCTGAACAGCATGAGTAAGGACATAGAGACACTAAAAATAAGCCAACTGGAAATTAAAAACCATCAAGAAGAGATAAAAAATGACATTTCAGAAATGAAAAACACATTGGAAGGTTTAAAAAGCAGAGTAGAGGAAGCTGAGGACCGGATCAGTGAATTAGAAGACAGGGTAAAAAAAATCAACCAATCAGAAAAACAAAAGGAAAAAACTATTAAAAAAGAGGAAGACAGCTTAAGAGAACTATGGGACAACTGGAAGCATAATAATATTCACATTATAGGAGTCCCCGAAGAAGAAAATGAGCAAGGGATAGAGATTATATTCAAAAAAATAGTGACAGAAAACTTCCCTAATTTGGTGAAGGAAGAAGGCATTCAAGTTTAAGAAGCACAGAGAGTCCCACGTAAGAAGAACCCAAATAGGCCCACACCAAGACACATAGTAATTAAAATGCCACAAACTAAAGACAAAGAGAGAATCCAAAAAGCAGCAAGAGATAAGCAACAGGTTACCTACAAAGGAAACCCCATAAGGCTCTCAGCTGACTTCTCACAAGAAACACTACAGGCCAGACGGGAATGGCATGAAGTAATCAAAGTCATGAAAAACAAGAATCTGAATCCAAGACTACTCTACCCAGCAAGGCTATCATTCAAAATAGAAGGTCAAATAAAGAGCTTCCCAGACAAAAAAAGGCTAAGGGAATACATTAGCACCAAACCAGCACTGCAAGAAATGTTAAAAGGACTGCTATAATTAGCAGTAGAAATGGGAAGAAAAATAGAAGCACACTAAACAAAAATGGCAATAAATAAGTACATATCAATAATCACCTTAAATGTAAATGGATTGAATGCTCCCTTAAAAGACACAGAGTAGCTGATTGGATAAGAAAGTATGACTCATCTATATGTTGGTTACAAGAGACCCACCTCACAACAAAAGACTCACATAGGTTGAAAGTGAAGGGATGAAAAAAAATTTTCCAAGCAAACAGAAAGCAAAAAAAGCTGGGGTAGCAATTCTCATATCTGATAAAATAGATTTCAAAATGAAGACCATAACTAGAGACAAAGACGGCCACTACATAATATTGAAAGGATCTATCCAACAGGAACATATAACCTTGATAAACATATATGCACCCAATATAGGAGCACCAAAATATATTAAAAATCTTCTGGAGAACTTCCAAGGAGAAATCGACAACAATACAATCATAGCAGGGGACTTCAAC